CCCCTCTTCCTCACCATCTAAGCCCTCTTGGTCGCACACAACACTTATTCCTCACTTCTTCCCTCCCTCCTCCCCTTCCACCACCACCACCGCCACCATCAGCCACCATCTCTACCGGCCCCAACCCGACTATGAACCGTCTCTCATCGTCATCGATCTTCAACGTCTTCATCCCGCAACGACAACAAGCATGACCGACACAGGTTCCGGGTTCCTCCAGTGGACCATCATCCTCGTCTTTACGGCCCTCGTCCTCGCCACCGTGGTTCTGGCCCAGACCGTCGCCTCCTACTCGTCGGCTTACGTCGCCGCCCCCAAGGAGGTGGCTGCCTACATCGACACGGTCGACTTCTCCATCCAGGAGAACGAGAGCTACGACCGCGACGTCGCCAAGGTCCAGCGCCTCGAGGACAAGATCCGCCTCGGGCGCCTGCTGCGCGAGATTCAGCGCTGCGGCGACGACCTGCGCGAGGAGCTCGACGGCCTGGTCATGGACCAGGGCACCACCACCCTGCGCACCTCGTCGCGCCTGCTCTGGGCCTACCTCCGTCCATCCCTCGACGACCGCGTGCGCCGCCTCGACCTGCTGCGCATGCGCTTCCTCGTCGTCTACATGGGAATCATCACCTCCATCGCCGACAGGCAGCCACCCCCCCCGCCGCCTCTGCCACGCGGCGACCCGGAGAAGACTGCCTTCTCCCCTACCGGCCACGCCCATAACCATCATCAGGCGGCGGCCGCCGCCGCCCATCACCGCACCCTCCCGGTCACGCCCTCCAAGCCGCCACTGTCACGCTCCGCCACCATAGCAGAGGATCACGCAAAGCGCCCGCCCCTCCGGAGGCTGACTACCCATGCCATCGGCCACAACGAGAATACCGGCCGTCCTCATCGCAAAGGCTGGGCCGGTGTCGTCGAGGAGCTGCAGACTTCGCCAAAGATGCACAAGCGCCATGCTTCCATAGAACAGGCCATGGCTCTGGATAAGACGCCGCCGTCTGCATGACCTCTTTCTTTCTCTTTCTCTGTCTCTCGTTCTTCTCTTTGCACTCCTCCCACTACCTCCCCTCCCACTGCCCCGGTCTATTTTCCAAAGCGAAGCACTCTTGTCTTCCTCGATGGCCCCTCTTCTTCTTCCTTTCTTCTACTATTCAGAGCTGATCAATATGCACCCTCGAATGTTGGGCCGGACTTTATGTGGAATGATTTTGTTTTCTTTCTGGTATGTTTTATTTTGGAGATTACGGTTTATGATGAATTTTACGAATAAGGAGAGTTGGGTCGGGTTGGATGAATCACGAGAAAGACGAATATATCAAGAGCACATCGGACTACATGTACTAAGGAGTTTTTTACTTTTTTTTTTTTCTCTTCTCTTCTCTTCTTTTTTTCTTTTCTTTTCAGTTTATGGTTTTTACCTTGCCACTTCACCTCATATATACATATATAGATAAGACATGATACCCCCCCCCCCCCCCCCCCCGTATTAACAACCACCGCGCTCTATCTTGTCCCCCTTGACCCTTCTCATAAGATATATATCTCTTTAGCTCCCTCCTAAATATCCTTCTGCGTTTCTCAATGAGCAGGCGCATCATCAGGACCTGTGCCGTTGCGTTCACCGACTTATAAGAGAGAAAGGGAAAAAAAAGGAAGCGTCAGTATTCGTCGTATTCGTGTCAGTGATAAGGCAGGCCAGCAAGATTGCGAACTTACCATCCAGTGCCACGAGGAATCGGCTCACCATGTTGTAACAAGCAATCTTGTAAAACGCGGGCAGTCAGTTGACAATACTATGACGAGGCCGATATCTATCTTCCCCTCACATGTTGGAAGAAATGTGAGAAGAGAGGGTCCGACAGGAGAAGGCTCGTCCTACCGTGGCGGTGATCTCGCTAATCTCCCGATCGCTGAAGAGGGCCCTGAGAGCGGCAAAGGTGTCGTCCCCCACCCTGACGCGCCTCGTCATCTCATCCGTGTATGCCAGCACGGCCCACTGCCGGTCATCGAACAGCAGGTCCCCGCCCACGTCGGTCCTGGGGGGCAGCTCGCCCTCCCTCCTGACCACGTCGAGCGCCCTGTCGGACACGCCGGCGGCGGCGGCGAGGGGAGCGTGGTGGCCCCACTCGTACCAGGCGCCGTTGCAGACTGCCACCCTCGAGATGGCCAGCTCGCGTACGTCGGCCGCCAGCGAGGTGCGCGTGCGGATCGCCCCCAGGAAGGTGTTCCATCCGTCCGCCACGGCCGGGGAGTGCAGGAGGGCGCGGTCGAGCGGTTGAAGGGGACGGGGGGCCCGGCGGGCTCGCACACGCTCCACGACGGCTTGCTCCTCTGCCGTCGAGGTCGGTGGCGGGTCGGCGACGTAAGGGATTCTCATGGTGGCAGGTTGCGTATGTGTATGCGTGTGTGGTGTGGGAGGTAGAATTCACTACTTGAGAAGGAGAAGAGCAGAGGAAAAAAAAAAGTAATTTTTTCTTCTTCTCTCAATGGAAGCAATAAAAGGTTCAGATAAGGTGAGGAAGAAGAAGAAGAGAAATAGAAAAAGGGTGGAATAAAATCAAGGGGTCGAGATGGGGGGGGGGGGGTTAAGTATTTACCCAGTCGTAATTCATCTTGATGTCGGTTTGTATGCCCAGATGCATCTATTACTACGGAGTACTACTTACTGTATTGATGGGATCCGCTTCTTCCCCCGCGGGGTTCTCCCCCGGCTCATAGAGTTCGGATCCGAAAATCGCTCCGCCCGACATTCAGAGTAATACACGATCATCATTACTTCTCAACGAACCACCCACGTCGCTTGGGAACCACGATGGGGATAGCCATACACCGAATGCAGAATACAAATTCTTCTCTTTTATTCCAATCGAGCGTTTGTGACTTATGACTCATGTAACTGTTCCAGTCCCGGGATCATCAAGCATCTATCTGACTGACTGCCCATTTAGGCAGGTCAGCACATTTCGTAGAGCGGGGCAGCAGACAGGAAGTGAGTGGGTTTCATCGATTTTCTTCTTCTTTGTCCCAAACTTCTTCTCTCTCTTCTCCTTCATGGATTGATTCATTATGGCAACTGATGCATGTCTAAAAAAAAAAAATTCAAGTCAAAGAATCTATCGTACGATGATGATGTTGTCGGGCTGGGGCAGGGAGGTGGTCGACGTTTATAAATGCAAAAAAAAAAAAAAAGAACATGGCTGACGCTGAAATCGGGACGGGTAAGGACCATTACAATGTTTTATTTGTCCGTGTCATGCGACCCTAGCTCACTTGCAATGTTATACAAGCTGGAAGATGTTGGTGGATAGTTCATCGGTGAGGGAGACAAGGGGACGGGGATTTGAACATACCTGATGTCTTCCCTCTCCGCCGGCTTGACGGTCTCCTCCTCGCGGGGTCCGTCAGCAGGACCGGAGCTGGAGATGATGGCACCGTCACGGCCGTCCTCGGCCCCGGTAGGGATGCTGACCAGACCGCCGGACTCCTTCTTCTTCTTCTGTTTCTCGACGTTGCGGATATCGCTCAGACGTTCGAAGTAGCCTTCGGGAACATCGGTGACGTACTTGCCGCAGAAGACACCGACCTCAAAGTCCTCGACATCGGTCTTGGTCTCGGCCGCCTCGAGGCAGGCCGCTTTGAGATCTCCCAGTTCCTGGAAGACGATGTCGTCAGCGTCGATGCACTCGGCGATCTCGGCGCGGGTCCTGCCGTGGGCGACGAGGTCTAGACATGCAAGAGTCAGTACTATTACATCACGCAGCGAGAACAGGATACGGTCCGGATCTTTTCATACCGGCAGGATCCGCAAGGTCGATTCCGTACTGTGGCAAACGGTCAGCATATGGTACCTTTCTCCGAATGTCCAAGTGTGCGACGTATAACAGTGAACTTACAATGTGAGGGTACATGCACTCTGGCGAGCACGAGACAAAGATGACGCGGGCAGCACCAGCCTCACGGGCCATCAGGACCTAAAGAAAACAACATTTTCAGCTGGACTGCAAGAGACAAGGTCTATGAATTGACGTGGGCAAAGGAAGTTAGGTCGTACGATTTCGCGTGAAGTAGCTAGAGACCTGGTTAGTAGAGCATACTTCATATCTATATGATACGATAAAGAAGAGGGGGTGAAGGGAAAAAAAGAAAAAAGGGGAAAAAAAAAGAGAGAAGCTCACTTCCACGGACAAGACTGTCGTCCACAATTATGAGGTTCTTCCCACGAAACTCGGAGTCGATGGGCGACAGCTTGCGGCGGACGCTCTTCTGACGCAGGGCCTGGTTAGGCAGGATGAAGGTACGGTGGACGTATCGGTTCTTGATGAGGGCGGTGACGTAGGGCTTGCCGAGCTTCTCGGCCAAGGTGGCGGCAGCAATGTTGCTAGTCTCGGGGACGGGGATGACGGCGTCGATCTTGGAGACTTCGTCGTCGCCGAGGGCGTCGCGGATCTTCTTGGCCAGCTTCTCACCCATATTCTGGCGGCTGCGGTAGACGGAGATGCCGTCGATGCAGGAGTCGGGGCGGGCAAAGTAAACGTACTCGAAACAGTCGGGCGTGTACGACCGCCTCTCGACGATCTGACGGAACTCGGGGTGACCGTTCTTCTGGATGAAGACGGCCTGGCCGGGCAGGATGTCGATGATGTTGCCGAAGCCGAGCTGCTTCAGGGCCACGGACTCGGAGGCCATGAAGTAGTCGGTGGCACCGGGGAGAGTGGCCGAGGGGCGGGAGCCGAGGCACAGGGGACGGATGCCGTTGGCGTCACGGAAGCCCAGGATGCCGAAGCCGGCGATCATGGCCGTGCAGGCAAAGGCGCCCTGGCACATGGAGTAGACGTCGCCCAGGGCGGTGAATATATCGTCAGAGTTGGCGCGGGTCTTGCCCAGCTTCTGAAGACCGTAGGCAAAGATGTTGAGCCTTTTGTTAGGGAAGGAGAAGAGTCAGTGACCGGTGTTCTAGGGAGAAGAGGAGGCGGGCACATGTACAGGAGCTCAGAGTCCGAGTCCGAGTTGATATGACGGCGGGCCTCCCCGTCGAGGAACTTGCAGAGGAACTCGGTGTTGACGAGGTTACCGTTGACGGCCATCGACAGACCAAAGGGGGAGTTGACGTAGAAGGGCTGAGCCTCGGAACTGCAGCATCTAAGTTAGTAAAGTCTGCAAGGTGCTAAGCAGTATCGGCTGGACCGAACGTACGCAGATGAGGTTCCCATGGTAGGGTAACGGAGGTGACCGAGACCTTGACGGGGTTGAGTTAGCATCATCATCCACTTGAACGTTTAGCTCTCCCTCTCCCTCTCTCTCTCTTTATTTTTTTATTTTTCTTCTTCTTTTTTTTTTTTTATAAAAAAAAAATCACGACATACCCATGTATCCAGGCAGCTGCTGGATACGCTTGCCCTCGGCAAAGACCTTGGCGGCCATGCCATTTCCCTTGCACTGGTACACCCTTCCACCCTGGCAGACGGTGATGCCGGCAGCCTCCTGTCCACGCTTTCATTTTGTTCATGTCAGTTGAGGAAGTTTGGCAGCGGGAAAAGGGAGGGGGATCGAGTGTCTCGTAGAGGGAAGAGAAACACATACGTGCTGAAGCAGGTACAGAGACTCATGCAGATCGACGGCGGCCATGGTAGACCTGGTGTCACCCAGCTTGAGAGGGAAGGTAAGATGTCAGTTCATCGTGTTGATACGGTGGTTGCCTCTTCATCTTGAATTTTTCATGTATCATTTCTCATGTGTGTTTCTCAAAAGAGAAAAAAAAAACACCCATGGAGGGGTAGTAACGTACCAAGAGACCTGTAATACCACACATGTTGACGGTGTGATAGAGAGCGAAGAGAGATATAAATATCTTTGTCTTGATATTTATATATAATCTCAGTAATAGTCAACGAGACACAGACTGCAAAAGTGGGAATGCAGGAGACCGAGATGTCAGATGTTGACAAGTGTTTGGCGAGGTCGGCTAAAGAGAGAGAGAGAAAGGAAAGAAGAGGAAAAAATTATACATCCCACGCCGCCCGTAGTGAACGGGTAACTAACTTTGTGTGTGCGCGCGCGTGTGTGGTGTGTGTTTGTGGCTTTCGTTGGTGAGTTTTGCGTAGTGTAGGTTCAACTTTCCGCACTGTGCACGTGATGTACACAATCTGCGAGTCTCGCCGTGGCTGCTTCTCATAAGGGGAAGCTTATAGGCTCTGTAGGCTCTGTATGCTCTGTATGGCCACTGGATAGGCTATCAATGCTACGCGTACTCTGCACGTACTGGGTAGTCTATACTCCATCCTGTAAGCGCTGAATGACTGACCGGTGGAAAAAAAATCGAAAGAATAAGTAAAAATAAAAACTAGATCGTCTCTCTCTGTGTGTCGTAGTGTCGTAGATAGCACTAGCTCTTCCGGATCGTTGCCGACGACGTGGATCGCACAGTGCCGGCTGGTGCGCCATTTACTACTACAGGACAGATTAGTATCTCGTATGTAGTAGCTCCAGCTGTACTGCTAGTATCCCGTAATATCATTCTTGATAACGACACTGCCGACTTTTTGCTCGACATGATTTCATCCTCATATGCTCCATACAGGTTGTGCCGGTAGCCGATAGGGCGGCGATGCGGAGCACTGTCTTCTCCGGATCAGGTGCAGATGGAGGGCGGGCACCCGAAGCCGGTCCGGCCATGCGGCTAGCCTCTCTCCAGTTTGACGTGGCTTCCAAGGTACCTTTACGTTAGCTTAAATGGGGACTTGGCTTCATGTACGTAGGGCTCTGGGCCTGCAACTCTGGTGTCTATATTCGTATCAGCATTACTGCCTCGGGGGGGGGGGGCCGGGGGGTTTAGAAAAGAATAATAAAAAGAAATCATTCAACGATTAATACTACCACTGAACCTGTGAAGACTGCCACTATTGATAGTGGAGATCAGATGGAACAGAGCTTGACGGGAAAAAGATGACCACGAAAATATCCCCAACACCCTGCGCAATGTATTATATTCTTCTTGCCATAGTCTGATCGTAATGCCTTGATGTCTTTCTTCTTTCTTTCCTCTTTTCATCCTTCGTCTGCTTGGCTTAGTAATATCACTCTGCTGAGCGTTTCTTCGCACCCTAAGAACTTGCAACGAGATGGAGGCATCCTGAGCCGCCAAACGCGCGCGCTGCGTCACATCACGTGACTTACGACCATTTACGCGACACTGCGCTGCCTTTTTCGCGTCGCTCCCAGAGCTATCTTGATCAATCTCTTCCTCCCCTTCAACGCCTTCTCGAGTCGGCGCCATCAGTCATCATGGCCGACATCAAGATCGATAGCAAGCTCTTCCAGGAGCGAGTTTCGCACTTTGTCTCTTCATGGAAGAATGACTTGCGCTCCAAGGAGGCCATCTTTGGAGGTGCCTCATCCCTTGTCGTCACGATGGGTAAGGTTGAGGAGACCCCGGAGCTTCACAAGAACAATGCCATGCACGTAAGTCACCGCCTCCACCTCCGCCTTCCTCGCGCGCAAGCCAGCGCACGTGCCTCGAAAACTGTCCGATCTGTGCTGACCAGCCTGCTGCTAGTTTTGGCTTCTTGGATACGAGTTCCCCACGACCCTGATGCTCTTCACGCTGGACATGCTCTACATCCTCACGACAGCCAAGAAAGGTACGACGGCCTGGAAATGTTGCGATACGATGTGTGATGGAAACGGATACGCTAATGCGCCGTATAGCGAAGCACCTTGAGCAGATCAAAGGCGGCCGATTCCCCGTCGAGGTCCTCGTTCGCGGCAAGGACGCCGAGGAGAACGAGAAGCTCTTCGCCACCCTGGCGGACAAGATCAAGGAGGCCGGAAACAAGGTCGGCGTCCTGGCCAAGGACACGTCGAGGGGACCCTTCATCGACGAGTGGAAAAAAGTCCTCGGGGACAGGTGCAAGGATGTCGAGCAGGTCGATATTACCATCGCCCTCTCGACGTATGCCTTTGCCGTCAAGGACGAACACGAGCTCCGCGCCATGAGAGCTGCCTCGAAAGCTTGCGTCGCTCTCATGACCCCTTACTTCCTCGATGAGATGTCCAACATCCTCGACGCCGAGAAGAAGGTCAAGCACTCTGCCCTGGCCGAAAAGGTCGACAAGGTGCTGGACGACAACAGATTCTGGAAGGCGGTCGAGCTCCCCGGCAAGGGCAAACTGCCGTCCGACTTCGACCCGGCTCAGCTCGACTGGGTTCTCGGCCCTGCCATCCAGAGCGGTGGCAAGTACGACCTCAGATTCCTCAGCGAGTCCAACGACGAGAACCTCCACGCGGGCACTATCGTTGCTGCTATGGGCCTCAGGTACAAGTCCTACTGCTCTACCATCTCCCGCACCTACTTGGTCGACCCCAACAAGGCTCAAGAGGGCAACTACAAGCTGCTCTGCATGATTCACAACTCCATCATCAAGGATATCCGCGACGGCATGCTGGCCAAGGATGTCTACAGCAAGGCGCTCAGTCTTGTCAAGGCCAAGAAGCCCGAGCTGGAGAAGCACTTCCTCAAGAACGTTGGCTGGGGCGTCGGTCTGGAGAACAAGGACCCCACCCTCATCCTCAATGCCAAGAATCAGCGGACTCTCAAGGACGGCATGACGCTCATCATCCACACCGGATTCCAAGACATCGAGAACCCCCAACCCCAGGACAAGGGTAGCAAGATATACTCCCTCGTCCTTACCGACACGATCCGTGTCACCGCGGCGGACCCCGTCGTCTTCACTTCCGAGGCCCCGACGAGCGCCGATGCCAATTCCTTCTTCTTCAAGGACGACGAGGAGGCCCAGCCTGCCCCCAAGAAGGAGAAGAAGGACCCCAAGGTCGGCGCCGTTGCCACCAAGAACATACAGAACACCAGGCTCCGATCCGGTCGCAGCACCCAGGTCGACGAGGTGGCGGACCAGAAGCGGCGCGAGCACCAAAAGGAGCTTGCCGCCAAGAAGCAGAAGGAAGGCCTCGCCAGGTTTGCTGAATCCACCAGCAAGGAGAACGGAGGCGAGGTCAAGAAGTTCAAGCGCTTCGAATCCTACAAGAGGGACAACCAGTTCCCGCCCAAGATCCGTAACCTCGAAATCGTGGTGGACGCCAAGAACGCCACCGTCGTCCTGCCCATCCTCGGCCGGCCTGTGCCCTTCCACATCAACACCATCAAGAACGCGAGCAAGAGCGACGAGAGCGAATTCACGTTCCTGCGCATCAACTTCCTCTCTCCCGGCCAGGGTGTTGGCCGGAAGGACGACCAGCCGTTCGAGGATGCCTCTGCCCACTTTGTGCGGAGCTTGACCTTCCGGTCGACGGACGGAGACCGCTACAGCGAGATCGCGACGCAGATTGCCAACATGAAGCGCGACTCGGTGAAGCGCGAGCAGGAGAAGAAGGACATGGAGGACGTCGTCGAGCAGGACAAGCTGGTCGAGATCCGCAACCGCCGTCCGGCCGTGCTGGACAACGTCTTCATCCGGCCGGCCCACGAGGGCAAGCGCGTCCCCGGCAAGGTCGAGATCCACCAGAACGGTATCCGCTACCAGTCGCCTCTGAACGCGCAGCACCGGGTGGACATTCTGTTCTCCAACGTCAAGCACCTGTTCTTCCAGCCGTGTCAGCACGAGCTGATCGTCATCATCCACATCCACCTCAAGGACCCCATCATCGTCGGCAACAAGAAGAAGACGAAGGATGTGCAGTTCTACCGCGAGGCGACGGACATTCAGTTTGACGAGACGGGCAACCGCAAGCGCAAGTACCGCTACGGCGACGAGGACGAATTCGAGGCCGAGCAGGAGGAGCGGCGGCGACGAGCCGAGCTGGACCGGCTGTTCCAGGGCTTCGCGCAGAAGATTGCGGACGCGGGCCGCAACGAGGGCGTCGAGGTGGACATGCCGATCCGCGACCTGGGCTTCTTCGGCGTGCCCTTCCGAAGCAACGTCTTCATCCAGCCCACCACGGACTGCCTGATCCAGGTGACGGAGCCTCCGTTCATGGTGCTGACGATTGAGGACATTGAGATTGCGCACCTGGAGCGCGTGCAGTTTGGCCTCAAGAACTTCGACATGGTCTTCGTCTTCAAGGACTTCTCCCGGGCGCCGTACCACGTCAACACGATCCCGGTCGAGCACCTGGACCAGGTCAAGGACTTCTTCGACTCGTCCGACATACCCTTCTCCGAGGGACCGCTGAACCTCAACTGGCCGACCATTATGAAGACGGTGACGCAGGACCCGCACCAGTTCTTCGCCGACGGCGGCTGGTCCTTCCTCCAGGCCGACTCGGACGACGAGGGCTCCGAGGAGGAGGAAGAGTCGGCCTTTGAGATGAGCGACGAGGCCTTTGACGAGGCCTCGGAGTCGGAAGACGAGTCAGACTTTGACGGCAGCAACGCCAGCGACGATGACGACGGCGATGCCGAGCTCGACAGCGAGGACGAGGGCGAAGACTGGGATGAGATGGAGAAGAAGGCCAGGAAGCGTGACCGCGAGGATGCCGCGGCGGCCAACAATGACGACGACAGCGGCAGCAAGAAGAAACGCAAGAGGTGAAAGAGGAAGGGAAGAAAAAGAAGACGGGAAGAAACATGCAAACGTGTGGCTAACCCTACGGGATCTACCCTCCTCTTGTGTCGTGGGCTACGTGCCAAGCTCTTTTTGTATTATCGGATGGAAGATCGAAAGAGAGGGGAAAAAAAACAAACACGGGGACTAACTATGCTTCTTTCTCCTTCTTCCCTCTCTTACTCTCTTTTTTTCTTTTCTCGCGTTGGCTTAGTCTTTCCTCATCGTTTTCTTCTTTTTCTTAAGGAGTTTTTCTTTTTTCTTTCTTTCTCAAGTTGTCCTGTCTATTGTAATTTCTAAAATAACATGGTAACACATGATGAATTCACAACCCCTTTCACAACATGGTTCAATAGTAATGTTATATATATATATGCATTTTCTGAACAATCCTGTTGAGATCCCGTCAAAGTCATCCATCCAAGACTAGTGTCATCTCTTGACAAGATCAGGCACGGGCCGTAGGTCGAGGTACCACCCCTCCCCTCCTCCCGTCCTCCCCTTCGTACAACCTACCCTTTTGAGGTTGTTGGCCATTAGAAGAATCCGGACTGCGGTCGTGAGCTTTACAATATATCGGACAAAAGGGTGAAGAGACAAGGGCGAGGCAGAAACCCCCCCCCCCCCCCCAAAAAAAAAAAAAAAAAAACGGCTCACATCTCGAGCAAAAATTGAAACACAACCAGTGATTTTTTGTATTCACAATCTACTACTGAATCTTTCTTCTCAAGTTGTCAACTAAAACATATTCAAAGATCGCGAGACAGCGTACAAGGAACAAGAAGAAGATGGAAAAGAAGGGAAGGAAAAGAAACAAAACTCCTCAAGACTCCCATATCAATCACACCGTGATTCACCCGCGCAGACAGCAAAAGAAATAAGAACGGGGTCCCTCCATGTTAGGTATCTCCTCCTCTCCGGAAGGGCTGTTCTTACGTACATGGTGCTGAGGCCGCAAGGGGAAGGGCAAGGACAGTTACAGGTCCAGCAAAAGAAAAAGAAAAAAGGGTCCGACAGATAGATAAGAGCGCAGTAAAGATTGAAAAAAAAAACACATTTCCTTCTGTAACCAGAGCAGGTCGCGTCACTCGACATCATCCCGTCTGGCACTCAACGGCGGATCATACGGCCTACCCGAGAGCGACAGACCCAGACCGAGTGTGACCCTGCTGTTGCCAGCCTCGTCTTTTGCCCTCGGAGACGCAGCCGTAGGCAGAGGTCGGTACGGGTGGGAAGGAGCAGCAGCAGCTCTGGAAGGATGGCGGGCACCGCGAGCACCAGCACCCCGGGAATCGCCCTGAAAAGCCGACTAGGCTTCGCCGGGGATCGAGCGGCCGGACGCCACGGCAGTAGGGGGGTTCTGCTGCTTATTGGCCGGGACATTGTTCCACGAGAGGTAAGTGTGGTCGCCGAGCTTCCTGGGCTTGACCAGGTGGGTGGCGGTGAAGATGGTGCCGAGGAGGATGCAGACGCCGCCGACGACGATGTAGGCGATTCCGAGGAAGTTGTTACGACCACCCATGACGGTGCGGGTGCTGATGAGGATCGACTTTGTACCGTCGTACTCCTTTGAAGGGAAGACTGCAGGCGATGGAAGTTAGCAAGAGGGGCAATGAGGCAAGGAGCGAGGAGGGGGGCAGAGAGAAGAAGCCGGAGGAGGAGGATGAGGGTACGTACAGTCTTCGATAATGATCTCGTACTCGCCCTCCTTCATCGCATCCGTGTCGTTGCGCTGGTACAGCTTGGAGAAGGTGGGCAGACCGGCGGTGCGCATCCAGACGTGGAAGCTCTCCCAGTTGACCAGGTCGGGAGGGGGGTTGTCGTCAGTGTAGCCGTCCGGGTAGCGCTTGGCCCAGTTGGGAGGGGGGAGGATCTCGTCGTTGCTGTAGGACGTCTTGCCGTAGAGCTCGCGGTCCGTGTCCCAGGCGATGCCTTCCTGGGTCATGACGTACGTCTCGGTCTCGTTGCCCTCGGCGCCCGGGGGGTTCTGCAGGACGGGACTGGAGAAGGTGTCGTTGAAGAGGGAGTTGGCGATGAGGCCGCAGGGGTAGTAGGGCTTCTTCTCGTCTTTGTTGACCTCGAGGGGGTCGCAGTCCGAGTCCTTGATCTCATCGTACGTGCGGGCGTCGCCCTTGAGCTGGTCGGCGTCGAACGAGGCGACGTAGCGACGGTGGTTCTGGTAGAAGTTGGTCATGAAGTAGTAGAAGAGGACGGGAGGACCCATGCTCTCCGGGATGTTGAAGCGCAGGTAGCACCGGTCCGTGGTGACCTCGACGCCGTTGCTGAGGTTGGTCTTGACACCGGTCCGCTGGGCCCAGCGGGCATCGACGGACTTGTTGCTCGACTTGAAGGCCTTTTCGATCTTGGACGACGGCATGCTCTCGAATCCGGAGCCTCCGGCGTAGGCGGGGGCATCGCTCACGCAGTCGGTATAGTCGAGGCGAATCTCTTGAACCTAAAAGGGAAGGGCCCATACGAGTTAGCTATGCGGGAATGATGGGTCTCGCACAGAAGAGAGAAGAGAGAGAAGAGAGAGAAGAGAGAGAAGAGAGAGAAGAGAGAGAAGAGAGAGAGAGAGAGAGAGAGAGAAGAGGAAGATGTATACCTGAGTACTGGCGTAGTACAGAAGGCCACCGATGGGAGCGAAGATGATTCCAATGATGAAGAACAGAGGCAGGACAGTCTTGGGGGTAAGGATAGGCCTGAAACACACACGAGGGTCAGCACGTCCCGCGCGGAAAATGACTTGGGGAAGGAAGATGGAAATGGATTCATACTGCCAGGCTTTCAACCGCTGCTGCCTAAAGGCCGTGTCTACACGATGAGAGGAAAGGTGTCAGTCGCAAAGGCCAGGACCGAAGGTGGTGGTGGTGGTGGTGGTGGCCAAACTCACTCGCAGGGCGACGGCTCTTCTTCTTCTCCGGCTGCTTCGGGGACGAGTCGTTGGAGTCCATGGAATCGACATGGTCGATCCCGCGTGGCGATTCGGCCATGCTGGTGTGGTTTGTGCTGTAAAGCTGAGATATTACCGCTGAGGACAAGTCTCGTCGAGGGCCTGGACGTTCGTCTTCTACCTTCTTCTCTACGACGAAGAAAGATTGGTGTTCGTCTGTCGACGGTTGTAAAGGGGTGGAAAATGCGCTTGCTGGGCGCAGTCAAATGGATGGGTCAGACGTAGAGGTTGAGGATGCAGGGCCTATGCCAGAAGGATCAGGGAGTAGGCCACTGTAAGGGAAATCTTGTATCCACTATACGGGGCCTACGACGTAATAAACGGTACAGGCCAACTCGCCCGCACCTTAAAAAAAAAAGGATGGGTTCGTAACTCACCCCGTTGCATATGTGCATGACTAATCATCCACTGGACTCTAACATGCGCCGCGTATATCTGTTCACCTCTTCTGTCCACTGGCAGGGGGGGAAGAAAACAGGCATAACAATGTGAGGAGAGGAATCCATGCTCGGTGTGAGCATCGATATCACCAACTTTATTCTCATCGTACATGTTGCTTGTCGAGGCTTCCCTGTCGCATGGCTGCCTTCCCATAATGTTATGCTAAAAAAAAAGGTCTCGGTACTTCGAAGCCCCATTGCACTGCCACCGGCCCACAAGCCTGCAACGTCAGCCACCAGTGGACGACGGCCAGAGCCTCTTCTATTTCCGTTCATCGGCAGCGCATTGTCATTGGCATTCAGAGGCATCAGGATTGTGCCTATCAAGTCGTAGGGCTCTTCTTCTTCTTCTTCCATCTGAGATGAATAGAGGAACGTGTTGATATCGGCGATGAGTGCTACGATTACCCGTACGAGAGGAGATGCAGGATGCTGCTAGCCGTGCATGCCATCGTCGTTAGTACGAGTACAGACTACACCGTACCGTTTCTTCGGCCTCCTCCACAGCGGAGCACGGCGTCCAGCGTGTCGGAGACGGTACCAAGAGGCGAAAACTGATGGGTTCTATGGGTAGGCGTACTATATATATCAGCTACCATGCCCGTGACTTCTGTATATATATATGTATTATCCTCCTCCATTCCTCTGTCCTCTCTCCTCCCTGCGTTTCTAGAGTCATACGTATTACCTTGGGAAGGGGGGGTAATCACTATCGGAAGCCTGGATTCCATCTCTCAGCCCCTACGAGCCCCCGCATCTCACCCCGCCGCCACCGCATCAGGCAGCGCCTCCATCTCGCCATCCCGCCTCCTCTCTCCCCGCCTCCCTCTCCCCTCTCCCGCAAGACCCGACCGAAACACTGCCTGAGATACGAAAGAGAAGGAGAGACAGGATGTCCGGCAAAGACCCCATAACCTGCCACGTCCTCGACACCACAGCCGGCCGGCCAGCGCGCGGCATCCGCGTGAAGCTCGAGGGACCGGCACCATCTTCATCGGCCAGCAGCAGCCACAACGCCGCGGCGGCCGCCAAGACGTTCGAGGCCGTGACCGACGACGACGGCCGGGTCAAGGTCTGGCTCCCCTACAGCTCGGCCACCTCGGTGGGGGAGGTGCCCGTCTACACGCTCGTCGACGTGCTGGCCGACATCGAGGGCCCCTCCCGCTGGACCCTCCGCTTCGACACGGCCGGGTACTTTGGCGAGGACCAGACCTTCTTCCCCGAGGCCACCATCGTGTTCCGCGTCGACGAGGGCCAGAGCTACCATGTCCCTCTCCTGCTCAGCCCGTACAGCTATACTACCTACCGCGGTAGCTGAGGGGGCGCGGGGTGGGAGATGGGACCCGAGGTAGAGGCTAGGCTGTAGCTTCGGCATCTTCCTTCTCTCCCTTGCTGGTCTCTGGACGGCAAGTCAGACGATTCATGGACAGCTCCCCCGGCAAGAAAAATCTCGACAGCTTTTTATAAGAAAAAAGAGACGGACAGCCTGTGAGAAGAAGAGAAATGGTCTCGGTTCTCGTCTCGGAACCACCCCGCCCGCTGTTGGCCGGTATAGGACAAGCAGTTATGATTGTACATATGTATATATATATATATATATATATATATGTATATATATGTATACTTGTTATTCTGTGTAGTATCAAAGTCAAGAGTATACTACCATATCCCGAAGGACAACCCTATAAAGCAGACAGATGGGGGAAAAAAATAGCAAGTGAAAATAAAATAAAGTGAATGACTCGCTTGTCCAACTCCATGTCCAAGAGCAGGACTGCCATGATAATTCAAACGATTGAAACTCCGCTCCCAAGGCCGTTATTCTTTCCCTCTTTCTTTCTCTCTGGATGAGAACCTGCACTGTACGCTTCCCGTCGGCACATGTGTGTGTGCGTGAGCGGGCTTCCTCTCCCTGTCGGGTGCTCGATCAGCTCCGCGTCTTGCGCAGCTTGCCGAAGAAGGACGACTTCTTCCTCATACTGGAAGTGTCGGACATGATCGAGCCAGAAGTCATGGGGCGTCCGTCGTTGTTGTATCCCGAGGAAGGGACACTGAGGCTGAAGCCACCGTCTCCCGCACTGGTCCGGCCCTCGGAGGAGTTGACGGTCTCGTCGCTGGCGGGCGGGCAGGCGGCACTGGGGATCATGCCGGAGATGAGAGGAAGGACGCCGTGGACGAGCTGCTGGCTTGCCGCCGAGGTCTGCGTGTTCGTCGAGCCCTGGCTGACGGTGCGGCGGTGCTTGGATAGCATGGACTGCTGGCGGCGGATGTCGGCCTGCTCGGATCCGATGGTGTCGCACGTGATGCAAGCGTTGGGGGAGAGGTCGGCGTCGGGATGAGGGAGGTTTGTTGTGAGGCCTGTTTTCTCCCCCATAGATCTCTCTGGTCAGCCGAACGTGTGCCAATGCAGAGGCGGGTCCCAACAGCAGAGAGCGGAAGACTCACATCCTCCTAGAGTTTCGGGGAAGCCGGTGTCGTGGTCCCGTAGTCGTCGACGGGACCTCACGGAGGTCGGGGTCAAGGGTGGAGACACCATGATCGGAGGACTGGAAAGAGTGGATGACGGGCCAGCGGGAGGTTGCTTCCGTGGCATGGTTGCCCTTTATGTCTTGGCCGAAGAGAGAGGAGAGAGAGAGAGAGAGGTACCACCGTAAGACGTCGTTGGAAAAAAAAAAAGAGAAGAGAAAAGGAAGAAGGATTATGGGGAAAGTAAGAAAAAGGCAGCTTTACGTAGGGAATCGTGGAGAGGGGCAAAGGGCAGATAAGAGAAATGAATAAATAAATAGGAATTTTTTTTTTAAAAAAAAAAAAAAAAAAAAAAAAAAAGAGGATGAGGAGATGGCAAGGGTTCAAGGGATCGGGGTAATAATCCGTTGGGACGAGTGCATTGATCGATTCCTATCCAGCTCGCATTGGAGAGAGAGCGACGTAATATTACCGTACACAACGTTTGGCTCGTCACTTGTACGGGGGAGATGGTAGTCGTAAGCTGAATTTGCTTGCCAAGCTGAACTAGAAATTGCTGGTTGGGGGCTGAGCGGGGGCTTGGGTGGAATGGAGAGAGGCAGAGCTTCGCCGCTTCGGGTAGTCAAATGGTACCGGGGAAATCGTGGGACAAGGCGACGACGTCTCTGATATGGAGACCAGGGTTTTATTGCTGTGAATGATTAGTTTGAGCTGGGCAGATCGATGACTTGATCAGAGACGAGTGTTGTGCTCTGTCGTCGTACTGCTGCTAGTGTCGAAGTCGTTTGTAGAGAGAGTTGGTGATGTCTCTCTCTCTCTCTCTCTTCTTCCTCTTCTTCTTTTTTTTTGGGATAATATATTTGAAAAGAAAAAAAGAACCAAAAAAGAAGAGAGGAAAGAAGAGAAGACGGGAAAGGGCGATATGCGCACAGAAACTCTACACACTGACTCACTAATCTCTGGAGAGGTGCAGAGTCAATGATGGGTAACAAGACAGAAGATCACTGGCAGAGAGAAGAGAAGGAGAGTGAGGGAGATGGAAATGAGCATTTATCACTCACGGAAAATGGACAGACTGCGGAGTATCAACACGTACGAGTATCAATATGCAAATCATGGCAGTGCCGATTTCCCGGAGAGGATCCCACAGGGCAGCAGCGTATATGCAACCCATGTCTCGACTCGCAATAATCATGTATAATATTAGCAAGGCCCTGGCCGCTCGGATATGATTGTATGGCGCCTGTGCAGTCTTGGCAGCGCAAATAATCCATGGAGACCACAGCTGACGGGGCGTACACTCGAACTCTCACAATATCCCCCCCCCCTCCCAAAATGTCCAATCGTCATTTCGATAGGTTGACCACCGTCCCCCCCTCCCCAGTTGCAATGGCGGGACCGGTGCCGAGCGGTTGGTCGGCCGAGGAGGCGTGGGGACTGGCTGCCCGTGGTATTCATTTGGAGGCGAGGGGGACGGGAGTGGGAAGAAGACCGCAGACTATATACAAGTACACACACGTTACCTCTCTTTCCCGAAGCGCCCAGGACGGCGACAAGAGTGAAGCGGGCAGCGGCGGGTAATGAAACGGTCAAATTGCCATGGAGTCATTTTGAGGAGGTGATAATATTACTCCTCTACCAATGTCTTCTGCCGCCCTGCTTGTCTTGGAAGAGAGAGAGAGAGAGAGAGAGAGAGAGACATACGCTGCCACGCATACCTTCCTCACCTCAGCTCAGTGTCCAGGCGGTGTGGATGTTGGAGGGCAGGCGGGCATCCTACTCGGAGTCCCTCGAGCCTCACATGTCTCAATCACCAGGTGGCACGCAGGCATTCGTCATGTTGGCCCTGCGAGAAAGCTGATGAAGGGACCTTGCGTCACCAGAAACAATCACGACTCGGAATACTCGGACTCGGACTCGTACCGCCTTTTTTTTCTCAACGACGTAATCGTCACCCGTGGCTACTACGAGACGCCGTTGGCCTCGTACGGAGCGCGAGCAGTAACCCGTGGTTGCTGTAGACAAACGCGAAGATGCTCTTCTCGTTTCTCCGACGGGCTTGATGCTAGCTTCTCCCCCAACCCAGCCCTGCCTCCGTGGCAAGATGCAGGTATGATGGTTGATTGATGGATCACGGGACGCATTTGGTTATATCCGGCGTCTGGCCTGCAGATGGATTTCCGATGCTGTCCGTTTATAGAAGTCGTGGACACAGTCGGGGTGTGTGTGTGTGTGTGTGTGTGTGTGAACTCTGTCATCTACTCCGTAATAATAGCAGAAAGGCAAAAGAGGCCAGCGGGGACCGAGGCGAGCGGTAGAGTGGGTATTCTGCAGATTACCTCGCCGGGAACGTCGACGCTGTTCAGGGGATAGGGGGGAGAGCGGATGGACTCGTCGCGAACTGTAGAGGATGATGGAGCCCTTCTTCATCTTCTTCAATGACGAACAAGGCAGAATGATACGACGTATTTAGTGATCCCTGTATTATGGAGCAAGGAACATTCAAGAAATCAGCGATGGTCCATCCATGGACGCTGATGGAAAGGTTCCACCGCCTTTGGTCTCCACCGCTAATAACGCATGCATTTGGCAGGAAGCACCAGCCACAAGTGGCTGCAGTCTATAGGTGGCTTGCAGACGACGAAGCAAGGTTATCGTCCATCCGTCCATCCATCAACTTATCTCCATACGGAGTACAGATCTGTACAGATTGATACTAGATGGGTATTACGCGTTCCGCAGGTGGCACAGCTGCGCTATCTAGGTGCCAACCTACTACGTACCCAAAGGCTACCGGAGCTACCATTCCAGTGCAGGTTACTACTCGCCGCCTCCGCCGCCGCCGCCGCCGCCGCTGCTGCTGCTGCTCCTGCTGCTGCCCATAATACTGCGGCTGCTCCAGTGTTGCCAGCAAAACAGCGCCCCGCTCCCCACAAAGTCACTCCACCATCTCGTCATTCCCAGGCCCTCCCAAACCCCACCTCTTGGAGTCCAATCCACAGAACTGCATCTCTTCACCGCAGGAGAGGGTAGAGAGAAGGAACAGCCCACCCATAAAAATAACCTACCCTTTGACGGGGGGGAAAGCAGCCCAGCCGATCACTGAGAGCTCACGTAACAGAAGTGAAGGAGAAGAAGGGGAGAAAAAAAATCCGTCGCTACCCACTCTCACCCCCTCTCACTCGGCCCGCCCGTTCGACCCTCGCTCGGTCCGTCCGTCCGCCCGCCCCGTTTCGGTCGTCACCCGTCGACTGCTCTCCTCCCTCCCGCTCGCTGGTTGACATGGCCCCTCGTGCCTTCGAGGACGAGGAGCTCACCATATCGCTCTCGTCGTCTCACGTCCGACGACAGTTTCAAGCCCCGCCGACACCGGACGCGGCCCAGCAGCAGCAGCATGAGGCTACGGGAGGTGACAACGGTGCTGCTGTAGACCCGACTAGGCCGCCCAACATGGACAATCCCGCAGCGACTCCCCAGCGGAGGGAAAAGGTCAAGACGGAGCAGAGGATCGGCGCCTACAAGATCATGCGCACTCTGGGGGAGGGATCGTTTGGTAAAGTAAAGCTGGCCGTGCACAATGGCACCGGTCAGCAGGTTGCTCTCAAGATTATCGCGCGCAAGAAGCTCATCAGCCGTGACATGGCTGGACGGGTTGAGCGCGAGATTGAATATCTCCAACTCCTACGACATCCTCATATTATCAAGCTGTGAGTATACACAATGTACTCTACGCTTTCACCCTCTCTCTCTCTCTCTCTCTCTCTCTCTCTCTCTTTCTCCCCCACCGACATGTCGAGGAAAGGAAGGAGGAGAACAGGAAGAAGGGTTGGCTGATACTTGGTGGTGAAATGCAGTTTTACCGTCATCAAGACCCCCAACGAAATCATCATGGTCCTCGAGTACGCCGGCGGCGAACTCTTCGACTACATCGTCGCCCACGGACGCATGAATGAGCCCGAGGCTCGCCGGTTCTTCCAGCAGATGCTCTGCGCCGTCGAGTACTGCCACCGCCACAAGATCGTCCACCGAGACCTGAAGCCCGAGAACCTCCTTCTTGACGAGAGCCTCAACGTCAAGATTGCCGACTTCGGTCTCAGCAACATCATGACCGACGGCAACTTCCTCCGCACCAGCTGCGGCAGCCCCAACTACGCCGCTCCCGAGGTCATCGGCGGCAAGCTGTACGCCGGCCCCGAGGTCGACGTCTGGAGCTGCGGTGTCATCCTCTACGTCCTCCTGGTCGGCCGCCTGCCCTTTGACGACGAGCACATCCCCAGCCTGTTCGCCAAGATCGCCAAGGGCACCTACAGCGTGCCCCAGTGGATGCCCTCGGGCGCCGCCAACCTCATCAAGAAGATGCTCGTCGTCAACCCCGTCCACCGCGCCACCATCGAGGAGATCCGCGACGACCCTTGGTTCCTCAAGGACCTGCCGGCCTACCTCCAGCGCCCCGCCGAGGAGTTCTTCAACACCGGTGTCGACCCCAACAAGGCCATCCTCAAGAGCGACATTGCCCCGCGCGCCTCGGAGACGGTGCAGGATAAGCTGCACGGCGAGATCACCGACAAGATCAGCAAGACGATGGGTTACGGAAAGAGAGATGTCGAGGAGGCTCTGTTCTCGGATGAGCCGTCGGCTATCAAGGACGCCTACATGATTGTGAGGGAAAACAAGATCATGCAGGCCAATCGTGAGTATCCGTTCCCCTCTCTTCTCCAGCCCGCCGCTCCTCTCCTCCAACCTTGACGGAATGCTGATACGTCTGGGTTTCTTCTAGAAAATCTCGACATGTTGACCGTGGCCGATATCGAAGGGTCGAGCCCCATGATGAGCCAGTCATCAAGATCCGGCATCTCGGGCAGCAACGTCTCTGTCCGTCCCTACGTCAGCAAGGTCGGCATCCTACCCAGCAGCATCCCGACCTACCACAAGGACTACATGGAGAGGCGAAACGCGGGCGTGGAGGACCCGAGGCCCCGGCCCACCGGCGGCCTCGACGAGCCCTCGACGTCAGCCAGGACGGACGCTGAGAAGCAGGAGATGGCCCGCCGCCTGAAACCCCATTCACGCAGCCACATCCGGGCCGACGAGGCGGTCAAGAGGCCGCAGGGCATGACGCCCATCAACCCTCCCAAGAAGCCCAAGCCTGTACGCTGGCAGTTTGGCATCCGGTCGCGTAACGCGCCCTGGGAGGCCCTCCTCACCATCCACAAGGCCCTCAGCAAGCTCGGGGCCGGTTACATCCCCGACGAGGACTTCGAATCAGGTCCGATCCCCGGCAGCGGCGGCGACGACGACAACCAGTCGACGGGGGGCTTCGGGTCGACGGCCAGCATGGATGCTGGTGTCAAGAGCTACAAACTCCCCGCTGATCCTTGGCATATCAAGGTCAGGTGGGAGACGCCAAGTAAGTAGTCTGATCATCCCCGCAAGCAGGAAAAGAAGAGGACGAGAGACGTGAATAGACTTGAGAAAAAAGAAGAAGAAAAAGAAGAAAAAAAAGGAAAAGGAAAAGGAAAAGGAAAGAACATCATACGGAAAGGACTAACAAATAAACCCCAACAGTCTTTCAGAGGAGTCAGCGGCAAAATCTCCCCGGAGAGATGCTCTCTACCAGCCCGGCAGAATACCACGTCTACTCTCCCCTGTCGGCGGAGCAGACGTCGGCGGCTCCGGTCAGGCGACCATTTGTCGCGATGCACCTCGACATTCAGATATACGAGATGGAGCAGGGCGTGTACCTGGTCGACTTCAAGTGTTCCGGGTACGAGACATCCGAGGGGAAATTACTCGAGGAGAAGGAGGTCACCAGCCCGTATCCGTTCCTAGACATGGCGGCGCGGCTGATTATGCAGCTTGCCGAGGCGGATTAGTCGATCTGTCCTGTTTCTTGTGCATAGGCTCCTCTTCCCTTCTCTCTCCATTCATCTCTCACTCTATCTTTCTTCTTCTCTTCTTCTTGCTCTCACTGGGATGGGTTTCGCTCTCGCGGACGGGGTGGGATTTGTGTGTTTTTTTATCTTCCTACACTGGAAGGGGCGTACACGGGAGACACTTACATGGATGCGGACTTGAGGGTGGGAATAAACCAACACGGCCTCTCCACCCGCTCTACAAAGGGATGAGCGTATCGGGGGGGTTTGGGGGGTTGTGGGAGTAGGGGGGAGGGGATCATGGTTTGCTTATTCTTCTCTTCTCCATTGTGTATGTTTGCTACTTGATGAATGGTTATATATGTAAAGATATGAGGAAATACTGGAGACTCGCAGGCAACTTCCTTCACGTGCTTTTTCATCTTGAGTTTTTTTTTATATGAAAGAAAAAGAAGAGAAAAAGAAGAAGTAGAGAAATATTTTTTTTTCTTTTCTTTAAAAAAAACTAGTAGTAAACAGATGATTCCTCGGCTTGGAAACTATTTAAACTGATCCTCTGTCACACCCTTGCCCATAGCAGCCGTAGAGCTCACGCCACCGGTGACCATCTTCTGCAGCTCGTCGACGTAGGTGGCTCCCGACCACTTCTGGTGCTTGACGACGTCGACGCCCAGCTCGATCTCGGGCTCCTGGACGAGCTCGCCGTACGCGCGCATGCCGACCTCGGCGTAGGCGCGGGCGAAGCGGTCGCTGATGAGGGCCGTGGTGTGCAGGCCCGCCAGGGTGATGAACTGCCAGCAGTAGCCCAGGCTGGCCAGTCGACGGATGTATGTCTCCTGCTCGTCTCGGGGCATGGCAGTCTTCCAGTTGAATGAGGGGGAAAGGTTATAAGCCAGTCTGCGGGTGCGTGTGTCAGCCAGAAGAATGCTGTTGTTGTTGTTGTTGTTGTTTTTTTTTTGATAAAAAAAGGAAAAGGGGAAAAAGAAGAAGAGAAGAGAAAAAAAGAAAGAAAGAAAACTCACTTCTGCTCAGGCCAGACAGAGTGAACACCCTCGGCAAACTGCTGAGCCTGGGCATAATCCGGAAGCTTGCTCTCCATCCAGATGGCGTCGGCGTAGGGAGCGTAGGCGATGGCCCGGTTGATGGCGCAGTCGCAGCCCCCCCGGAGGCGGTAGTAACCCTCGCGGGTGCGGGGGGCGTCCCAGTCGAAGAAGACGTCGGTCCCGCCTCCCAGGACGGTCCTGGCGGCGGCGCGGGCCTCGGCGTTGCTCCTGCCCCTCGACCGGGAGAGGTAGGCGGACTTGAGCCCGGCCTTGTCGGGCTGGGAGCTGGCGTCGATGGCGTCGATGACGGCGTCGTCGAAGCGCTTCAGCCCGGCCTCGGCGATCCACTCGTCCTCTATGCGCTGGAGCTGGTCGCCGACCTTGCCCTCGGCCTCGGCCCTGATCATCAGGTCGTTGAGCGGCTGGAGGGAAGGGTTGGTGCTGCCCAGGATGAAGGCGTGGTCGCGGGGGTCGATGGTGGTGGTGATGAGAGTGGCGGCCTCGGCGTCTGTGCGGGCCACGGCAACAAGGTCGGTACCTGATGATTACGAGGTCAGTTTGAGAAGAAGAGGAGGAGGAGGAGGAGGAGCGTAGAGAAGTGTGGAGGGGAGACATGTACCCATCACATCGGCCTGGGCACGGATGGCGACGAGACGGTTGATGTGCTCCTGGATGGGAACGAGCACCTTCCCGGCCATGTGTCCGCACTTCTTGGTGCCGGGAGCCTGGTCTTCGATGTGGATTCCGGCCGCACCCTTCTCGATGAAGAGCTTGGTCAGCTTCATGACGGCGGTGAGACCGCCGTGACCGGTGTCGGCGTCGGCGATGATGGGACGGAGGTAGTCGATCCCCGCGAGCTTGGAGCGCTGATCCTTGGGGGTGCTCAGACGCTCCTGGCGCTGCTTGCGGTCGTGGAAGAGCTGGGCCATGAAGAGGTGGCCGACTTTGTTGGGGACGGTGGTCTAATTTTTTTTAATCAAAACAAATTCTGTCAGATATGTCTCACATTTTCCTGATGATTCTCTCTCTCTCTCTTCTTCCCTTTCCCTTCTACGTTCCGTCACCTACCCCCCTTTTTCTTGAGAGTTGAGAGTAGCTTCTCGAGGAGTGATGAGTGGAGAACATACGTAAGGGTAGTCTGCCAGATCGGGACCCGGCTCGTCGGATGAAGAGGCCGTAGATGATGATTGCCATCCAGAGACGTAGACGGTGTCGAGATATTTTGCCATCTGGGTGACCATTGTGGGCTCGAGGCAGCCGTAAGTGTAGCTGGCATCTCTGGACTTTTGTTTTTTTTTGTAAGAAGAGAAAAAAGGGAGAGTCAGTATTTCTTTCGTCTCATGTTTTCTCTCCTTCTCTCTTTCCCTACCCCTTTGTATGTGTGTGTGTGTGTGTGTGTGTGTACGTGCCTGAGGAGAGGGAGGATGGGATGGATGGATGGATGGAAGATACCTTGAATCGGGCCTCGAGGATCCCCCAGAGCTTCTTGGATTGAGCATTGCTGGGGTACTCGACCTTGAGGGTACCCCTCTTGGAGACGATCTGCTCGGCAGTAAAGGGACGCTTGGTGTTGCGCCACCTCGAGTCCTTCCACCAGGCCTTGACCTGCTCGACCTCCTTGTTGAAGATGTCGTCCTCAACGTCGGGGTTGATGGCCGAGGGGACCATGTTGTTGGAAGCCATGGTGGGAGTATGTGTGTGTGTGTGTGTGTGTGTGTGTGTGTGTGTGTGTGCTGTGTGTATACAGAGTAATAGTAGACGGGATGTGGGATGGGTAGTATGTTGGTGAACAATATAAAGACAGACTATCAACCAATATCTCGATAGACGGAACGGAGAAGGGAGAAAGGACGGGACACTGCAAGAGATGAGGAGAGGGAGAAGAAGAAGAAGAAGAGTTTTTTTTTTTTTTTAATTAAAAAAAAAACGCGGAAGAGAAAGCAAAAAAAAAAAAAGACAATTGATGGGATGAATCACATAAAAAGATGGAAACATTCTTGCCGGCTCTAGCACGTGTGTGTATTCTCGGTCGGAGGGAGCACATGTCATCCAAGTGGCCCGAGAACCACGACTGCTACCCTACTACGTTTTCTTCCCCTTCTCCTCCTCCCCCTCTACGTCCATGCACCTCTTACCTCTTCCCTTCCCGTTCCCCAGACTTACGTTAACCGGGGGGGAGGGGGTGCGTGCGTAGGACGGAGTCACCTACCGGGCCAGGGGGAGGGACGGAGGGTTGGTCTCCCCGACATGGTCCGATGACTAGATTGCAACTGTCAGGATGGGGAAGGAGAGGGAAGCAGCCGACATGAACATCCTGATCCTCCCCTCAACCACGTCCTGTCAAACTCCTCCCCCATCACCGCAAAAAAATTCGGAGGGAGAGTGGCGTGAGGTGTGAGGTGCCTCCTCGGGTCAAGGGCAGCTAAAAGAGAGAAGACGGGTACGTCGCGGAACTTGGGGAGCGTTAGCCGCCATTGGCCGAGGTGCCGAATCGGGCAAGATGTCCCCCGCCTCTCCGGCCGAGTCTGACTCTGACTCTCCCTCTCCCTCTCTCTTGATGCTCCGGAAGAGTTACCGATCCCATTTTACCGAGACATTATTTGATCTGGAATTTTCCTGAATAAAAAAGAAGAAGAAGAAAGAGAAATCCTTCTTCTCTCTCGGAAATGAGTATAGATAGCATTCAATATTTTCATCCTCTCCCCCCTCCTCCCCCCCACCCTTTCTTCACCTTTAAACCAGAGAATAATGATGATGATGATGATAACGATAATGATAATAATAAGAAGAAGAAGAAGACTAATAATATCCCTTTCTTCACTGCAACCTTGGGGACTGTACATCGCTGCTGATACAAGACGCAAATGGTCGTACCATCTCCATGACGTCGTGCATACGTAACCTGACTACGGAGACAGAACAACAGCAAGCAACACCACAAACCTTTCCATAGAGGAGGACGGGCGGCATGTGACGCGAGCCATCCTCCATCTTACCCGTCTCGACGCAACCAGTAGTCGGAGAATGCTGGTGACGTTCCAACCAAGTCAGCAAGATCAGGTCAGATACATGTATACATTGTATTGTACGGTGGTATGGTCTGTCCATGTATGTATATATATCCGTGTACGTATATATATATCCATGTACGTATATATATATATATATATATATGTCTGTGTGTGTGTGTGTATATATATGTATGCATCTCTCATGTATGTATGCGTCCCTTCCTGCTCCTCCCGTGCCGTAGATACTCGTGATTCTCGTCATACTTTTCTGTAGCCGCTCACATCTGACCGCTGATCTCGCCCCTCCCCTCCCCCGCCTATCTGCCTCGGCTGTCGTCGTCCCCATTCCTCTCCTCCGCCGTGTGGCCCGTGACTGTGTGTATATTCCCCGTATCAGTCGCTGGCCTGATCATCGGACATGACACCGATATGCCTGGCAGGCCGTCGGCTGGCAAGACGTTACCCGGCAGACGTTATCTTGACAGGAAAATATGAAGAGTACTAGATGACAGAGACGGAGAAACAGCAATTCCGCCTGCGCATTTTCGTCATCCTCCCCCGCCCCCCTCCCCTTGTATATCTATATCCATACCCTCTGGTTCCCCCTCTTTGCCCTTTTGAGCGCAGCATGTATTTTCTTGACCCTTCGAAGCTACGATCCGCAGCGAACCGTTGTCGGTTCCATCGATGCAGGCAGGCACGTTTCCGAAACGTCCCGACTAGATCAAAAGCAAGAGCGGGAAAAAAAAAAAAGAAGAAAAAAAAAAGAGAGAGAGAGAGAGAGAGAGGAGAGGAGAGGAGAGGAGAGGAGCAGATGAGCTGGAGAAGCAGACGAGGGAGAAAGAACCCCTCGGGCTTATCCCAGATGCAGGTCCGCAAGCGCCTTCTCCTCGTTCCTCTCCATGGCCTTGACAAACGTCTCGTATGGCGTCATGGTACCCAGAGCTCGCCTCATGTGGGCGTTGACGATCTGAAGTCCGTACACGTAGCTGGCATTGACCCAGGCGAATCTGTCTCTCGTCAGTCAGCCGTCAATCAGATCTCCGCATCCACCTGCGACGCCGCCGGCGGGGAGCCGGAGGAGAGCTAGGTGGAGGCGGCGGATGAGGGACGAGAGAAGGAAGCAAGAGACTCACCCCTCCTTGGCCACTCCCTTAAAGTCCATCCCCTGGTTGCCGTACTCGGCGTCGACCCGGTGCGGGTCCACGGACCTGGTGACGTCGTACTTCTCCACCACGACGCCGTTGAAGTCGACAAACGCCTTGGTGACCATGTACAGCCACTTGTACGCGAGCCGCTCGGCGTCCTCCTCGAAGCTGTACCGGAGCAGGCCCGTCCACGCGAGCATCTGCTGCGGCGCCCAGCCGTACGGGTAGTCCCACTGGCGGTTGGGGCGGTCGATGCCGATCTCGCCGCGCGACTTCTCCGTGCCGGCCACCAGCCCGCCGTACATCTCGAATCGGGGGAGGGCCTTCTTGACCATGTCGGCCGCCTGCTTGGGCGTGGCGATGCCGGCCCAGAGGGCCCAGAACGTCGTCGCCGTCTCGTACGTGCACCGCTCCTTCTTGACCGTGTCGTAGTCGTAGAACATGCCCTCCTCCTCGTTCCACATCAGCCTGTCAATCGTCAGCTTGCGGCGCTTGGCCCGGCGGTCCCAAGCCGCCGACGAGAGCGGCTCGCCCGGCTGGTAGGGCGTGCCCGCGCAGAACTCGGCCGGCATCACCAGCTTGTCGCCGAACAGGCTGCGGATCGTCCGCGCAATGTCCGTCTCGTACTTGAACAGCAGCGAGTTGAGGTCGATCGTCGCCAGGTTCGCGCACACGCCCTCGAGACGGTACGACGTGTCGTGGCCAGACTCGCGCACCGACCGGTCGTGCAGGAAGTACTCGTCCAGGTCCGGCTCCTCGATCTCGCCGTAGTTGTACGCCCGCACAAACTCCTTGAACTCCATCTTGTGCTTCTTGGCGTAGGGCGTCAGGATGTGCACAAAGTGCGTCGGCTCCGTCTCCGGCGGCACGCCCCGACCCTCGGGCCGGTAGCGCGACAGGCCCGTCACCGGGTCCAGTCGAGGCTCCGACGTCCACACCGTGTGGTACTCCTTGATGGCCGCCAGGATCGACCGGCGCAGGAAGTCGAGCGCACCCGGCTGGTGCTTGATCTTCTCGTACACGCGCAGCGCCATGTCCGTCAGGAACGGCGGCTGCGATCGGCCCAGGTAGTAGGTCCTCGTAGCGTTGAGGATCTTGCCGTAGTGCTCGATGCAGAAGCAGAAGTTCTCGACAATCGACTTGACCATGTCCGCCCGGTCGTTGACCAGGAGGCCCAGGCCCGCCATGTAGCTGTCCCAGCCGTAGAGCTCGTTGAACCGGCCGCCGGGGACGACAAACGGGAGGCCCTCCAGCGTCGTCTCGCCCGTGACCTCGTCCTTGACCTCCCTGGTGGCGACGACCAGCAGACCGGGCTTCTCGCTGAGCTCGATGATGTACTCGGGCGTGATCTTGTCTCGGAGCATCTGCACGTCCAGGTTGATCTCCGGCCGCTCCCTGGCGACGCGCTTGTAGTACTCGTACTGCTCCGGCGCTCCGGGGGGCACGTAGATGCGCGGGATCGGGTTGTCGGTCCAGTCCTTGGGGTCCTTGGCGGCGATCTCGACGGACGAGGCATCGATGCGCCTCGTCAGCCCATCCCAGAAGTGGTCGCGGATCAGCCGCGAGAGACGGTCGGTGGGGTTCTCGTTAAGACGGCCCTCGTCCAGCACGATCTGCGACCGTCCGTACTCCTTGGCCAGGGTGAGCTCCTGCAGCAGGTTGGAGAGCATGTACGTGCCGCGCACGTCGAAGCGGTTGTGGCCCGCCGAGCCGGCCGTGCGCAGGGAGATCACCTTGGGTCCGCTGTCTTCGATGGTGATCTGCATGTTGTGATCCGTGTCTTCCTGCTCCTGGAGGCTCTTGAGGGTGGCCTCGACCTGGACCAGGAACCTCCGGCCCTGTCCAGACGGTTTCTCATCTGTCCGTGGGAGTCAGTCAGCCGTCTGCAGGTCTGTGCCGCGATGGGATAAATTCCCGGCTTACCGTGACTGCCGCGACGATGCGGTTCCCTTCCGGCAAAGTTCTCAAACTGACGGTTGAAAGTGGTCTATTGCAGGATGTCAGCGTGCAAAATCCAGTCGGTGGGAACCTCCAGTCCCGTCCTGATGTCCCCCCCCCCCTCCCCCGGGTTCGGGGCAAGGCGGGATAGGGGAGAGAGCTACGGACCTGAGAGTATGTCCTGTTGCGGGCAGTGTTGCGATGACGTGCGTCGGACGAGTAGTACTGCTCGGCCGGGTCGTAGATGCCAAAGTCCTCGGACGACTGCGACTGGCGGCGGTCTGCCATGGCTTCGGGTTGGTTCGATGGCATCTCCGTGGCCATTCGTGCGGATCGATCGACGAAAGAGGGGTCGAAACTGTGGCTTGAGCTATTCCGTTAGCGAGACCCCAAGCTTCATCATCATCTGGTGGTGGTGCAGGATGGATCGGGGAGGCAAACCAGTGGTAATGCTAGTAGCGGATAAATGCCGCTACGGAGCAGAGGTAGAAGGGGGACAGTAGATGGCCTGAACTATGCCTGGCTTTGCTTTCTTGTTTTTTTTCTTGTTTTTTTTTTGTGGTCACCGAGCCGTAGATGCGAGGGCGATGAGATTTAAGAGGGCAAATTTGCTTCGCAGCGGTCAAGTGACGAGGAAGGGCTTCTCTTGAAATGGAAATCTAGGGTAGCTGGGATTCGGGCGAAGCCGATGAGGACAGAGCATGAGCACTGGTCCGGAGACAAGCCGAGTGTTTGATTGAGGAGGAAGGGGTTGCTGGCGTGTACGGGTAAAGGCGGAGAAGGGGTAGAGACAAGAGATGTCTTGGATGTGTATGTCTCCGAGGACCTGCTGCCTTACAGTTTGAAGCTTTGGTCTAGAAAGAACATGCGCCGTTACTATCCTTGAAGTAACAGAGGGAAACTCTGTCGATTGAGGGAATCTGGCTGATTCAAAGCTCAACTGATGGACGAGGAGCTGTCCGGCCCAGTCCGGGCGGGACTGACGCAATTGCAAGAGGGAACCGCCTCCCCCCCTCCCCCCCACCTTCCCACCTTGTTGTGATGCCCCACTATGACATTACGCATCCTTCTAATCTGTATTACTCCGTATTATCATTCCATGTAATGATAATACCATACATGTAATGATAATACCCATCGTCCGGAAAGACATGGCGCCACAGATTTGTTCTTCCCCTTTCATTCCCCTCTGAATAGCATTATCCTCTCCTCTCAGGTATGAAAGACGGCTGTTCGCAGAGCATGTCCAGCCGCAACTCAACCACGTGAAAAAGAAAGAACAAGAACACTAGCCACTTGGGAAACCTGCTACTGCTACCAGCACCCAGCAGCAGTCGTCATCCTACCTCCGACCACAATATCCCAAGAACGTTGACGCCCCTGACCCAGAAGTGCCACTGATGAGGGGGCCTAGACTCTGGGCTTCCAGCTCGATGCACGATGCCACCAACTCGACCCGGTACTCTCTGTCCGTGTCGCGCCGGCCGATACGACACATCGCCATGACTCCCGGCGGTCGGCTCTGGAGGCGGTGAAACAGTGGGAGGCTAGAGGCCCGTACATGCCCACGTACTCGTATTGGCCTGCTACCGACAATCGCTACCAACCACTGCTGGTACGCTGTATGTCTGCAGAGGCGCAGCCTAGAGAAACCGATATTCGTATCTGCTAATGCGCCAGCCGCGGGATGTCGATTGAGTTGCGTGTATAGGCAGGAGAGCTATACCTGCTGCTGCCTTGGCACTCAGATACCCCCCACGAGAAAGGTGCGTGGGTGGCGAGCTCATGGTGCAGTTACCTGCTCTTGGATACTACCAGCATCATGCATAATCAAGCAAGATGGTCTGCTAATGTCTACCTCCTCCCATCTCGTGTATACAAGAAAGTGTAAGTGATACGATGGTAGGGGTTTTTTTTTTTTTTCTCAGAAAAAAAAAGTAGGGAGGACAAAAAAGGGGGGTATATGTACATGAATGGAAAGGAGTGTTGGTTTTGAAGTCGCCGGGGACTTTGATGGTGATGCTGGTGTCGATGAGGATAGCCCTCTCTACAGAATGAAGCGATAATCATGGACCCTTCCTACACCTTTATTGCCGGGTCCTCTGTACGTAGAGGGGGACAAGACTGTCGGTTGGTCATACTGGTCCCTCTCTCGTCTGATGCCATCTCGCGCAGGAACGTTGCAACATTACCGCTGGCATCATCCTGTTCCTGCGTCGGAGACATCCCATGTAAAGAGCTATCGGGGTCGGGGAGGATTGAGAAGGATGGTGCGGTGGGCAGGAAAGCTATGCCACGCCGGGTGTGCAGTCGGACGCGCTCGGCGTATCGTGTGAGCTTGACAGACAAGGAAGGATTCGCAGACTGGACTCCTCGAGGTATTATTTCTTAAGTAATGGTTCCAATCACGGTCCTGTTCGTCGGTATGGATTCGCCATCTGCTTTGCCCACATCTCAAGCAGTCGGCACGTCGTCACGAGAACGAAAACGCACGTCAAAGCGGGAACCACGACAACCAGACCACAAACAGGATTCTCTACACATCACCGGGCCCACCAGGTTAGGGCTAGATTCTTTGATCTTGCTACAGCGCTGTATTGGTCGGCCCGTCAGACGAACCCCTGGTAAAGGAGGAATGAGGAGGTTGTGAGGTCGTTGCTAGCACACTTCAGGTATAGAACCGCAATCCTCTGGCTTACGGGAATCCATCCGGTCGGAAGGGGACTTTTTCTTCTTCTTTCTTCCCTTTTCCCTTGTTCTTCTTTTGAAACTCCCACAGCTACGAAGGTACGAATGACTAAAAGCAGAAAAGGTATCCCTCCTTCTCGCATGCAGGTCTATGCAACGTTGTCAGAGCACGCTCTTCGTGACAGAAACGAGGCTGACTTGGAATTATCATATATGCGTGGTGGGGTATCATTCTGCAGTAACAGTAGTAGCTATACTCCCGTACTCTCGTACGAGCAGAAACAAGAAGAAGAAGAAGAAGAAGAGAAGAAAGGAGGGGGGAGGGAGGTCAGATAGCCGAGATAACTGACCGATGCCGAAGATGGAGAAGAAGAGGGAACGAGATGGAGGAAGCCAAGGTAGGAGATAGAAGGTGGAATGTCCATCAGATATTATTACCCAGCCCACTCATACGACGCCTGATCCTCCTCTGAGCCACGGCGCCAGCGTTCCACGTACCAGCAAAGAGGTCCTCGCACTCATCCTCATCATCCGAGTTGAATACAATGCCCGTACCGTCCTCGTCGTCATCATCGCAGTCATCGTGACGGCTCCTCCGTCGCTGCTGCCGCTGCTGCCGCTGCAGCTCCACGCTGCCGTCCTCCACGTGCTCCCAAGACCGGTGCGTCGTGACCCGCTCCGTCTCGAGAATGTACTTGCCAACCTTGTACTGCTGCGACAGCTCCCGCGCGGCGACGTACTTCCATCCCAGCATCCTGCAGCACGTCGAGCAGCTTATGTCGGCGACGGTGTGCCACCCTGTCGACAGCTGCCGATTCTCGCTGGGGCCGATGCGCACGTTGAGAAGGTTACCGCCGTCGTCGGCGCCGCCGCGTGACGGCGACACGAGGAGTGCGCGGCCGTGACGGCCCGTGAAGCCCTTGGACATGACTTGCAAGCTCAGTGCCAGGTCGGTCGAGCAGTGCTTGCACCTCAAGGTATCGGGCGCCACGCGTGACAGTCTAGTATTCTCCGTCTTATTCTCCGTGTGCGCGTCGTTCGTTTCCATCGGCACTGCTTCGCTACCGCCGCCGCCACCGTGGCCGCCAGCCGGCCGGGCAGAGTCAATAGGCGACGAGGTGCCCGGTGAGGTGCCCGGTGAGGTGGCTGGCGTAGACGTCTCCGACCATGGCGGTGCGGATGATGGTGATTCGGGAACTGATGATTCCGACGACGCTGATTCTCTTCTGCCGAATGGCAGTCTGAGGCTTGGCAGCAGGTAGCCTGGGAATATTGGCCTGGTGGCCGAGATGCCGCTCTCGCGGACCATGTTGAGCGATGATGATGATCAATAATGTATCGCCTCAGAGCAGTGTTCTCTTTTTCTTCCCTTCTTTTCCCCTTCTTTTCCCTTCTCCTTCGTGGCAGATGTATATATATTATATATATATATATATGTTTCTGATGCTTTTTTTTTTTTGGTCTTGGTTCGACTCAGGCACACATGCATTACATGTGACCGACCGTTTTATTATCATACAGGAGAGCGGAATCGGAGGGGTTTCTTCGGGCACATAATATTGCACGGGGGCGTGATAAAAGTTATCAGCCGAGTCTACAAGAGCACCCGCGTGACCCGATCGATGCGGGGAGGCTCTGGGAAAGAGTCATGTATAACACGTCTGGAATTCAAGGAGGCCAAGACTGTCATATTGTCGGTTAAAAGGGCGGCAGGTGCACTAGGGTAACTCAAAGATGCATGCTTTCACAACGTGCGCAAAATCTGAGAGTAATGGTTCTCAAAAACTCTAATAACATCAGCCGATGGGTTGGGAGGAGAGATGGGAGGAGATGGGCGGTGCAGTGAGCATGGCAATGTCGTAATAGATGGTCGCTTTATCACCGCCCTTGACGGAGCAGCAACCACCAGCCAACGGCGGGGTTTCTTGGTACTCTTTGACGGGGCTCTAGGATAGCTTGCAGGTGGGGCTCGATGTGATGTGATCGAGCACGCTTGTACGGGCACATGACGTATTATGTTGCTCCTCTTCTTGTACTCGACATGTTCACATTATCTCTGTAGTATCACTTAAACGACTCAAGACTCAAGCCGACTTGGACGGAGTCTTGTTGTTGTAAACTTGGTCATGGCCATAGTGGAGGGGGGGGGGGGGTTTGGTTTCAAAAAAACAAAAAGAAAAGAAAAGAAAAGAAAATAGAACAGGCTTTCGAATGAAATGACTTCCTAGCAGGTTGCGAACGTATTGTACACACCATCTTGCCCAACATGAGAGTAACACAACATATGCAAAGCCCATGTACCCACTACTATCTCACCAAAGCATCTCCTCCTTAGTTCTGCGGCTCCTCCGCAACGTAGTGAAGGTAGGCTCCAAGGAGCTTGATACCCTCAATGTAGTTCCTCTTGTCCAGCTTCTCGTTGATCGAGTGGGCGCCATCTGTGGAGCTGCCCATAGGGAGCAGAAGCACGTTTTTGCCCGTGGCCTCCTCAAAGGTGAGGGTGATGGGGATACTTCAATAGCCAGGACATGTCAGTATTCTCGTAGCCAGGGAATATCAAGAGGGGGTGGAGACTAGGTTCACATACCTTCCACCCTCGCGGGTAAAATCAGGCTGGACGCCCCAAACCCGCTCGGTAGCCTTGGAGGCGGCCGAGAAGTTCCAGTGGTTGGGGGAAGCCTTCCACCACTTTCCAGAGTGCTGGGCGTACACCTTCATCGTGTTCTTGCTCTTGAGCTTGGCAAACTGCTCCTCGACGTACTTGTACACGGCGGCATTCGTCTTCTCAATGTCCATGTCGGGAACGGTACGGATCGAGAACTTGCCGATGACCTTGGCGGGGATGACCGTCTTGGCACCAGGGGCCGAGAAGGCACCCTCGATACCGTGGATTGACAGCGAGGGGAATCGCCAGCGGGCCATCAGCGTCTTCTTCTTGTCATCGTAGATGGTAGTCTTGCTGCCCAAGGACTCATGCAGCGTCTCCATGGTGAAGGCGATGCCGTCGTACAGGCCCTCCTCGTCGGATGTCACGGGGGCAACCTGCTCCATGATGCCGGGTATCTGAATCTTGCCATCCGTGTCGACGAGTGAGCCGAGGACGCGAACGAGGTCCGTCATGGGCTCCTGGGCCGTGCCGCCGAATACACCACTGTGTAGGTCGGCACCGGGGCCAGACACCTCAACCGAGAAGTAGTTGCAGCCACGCAGGCCGTACGTCAGGCAGGGCTTCTCGGTACCGAGCCAGTAGTTGTCCGAGATGCAGACAGCGTCGGCATCGGCAAAGTACTTCTTGCCCTCTGCCATGATGAGCTCCTCCAGGCCCTCAGAACCGTACTCCTCCATGCCCTCGAAGCACATGAGCAGGTTAACGGGGAAGTCGATACCGGCCTTCTGGTGAGCTTCTATGGCGTTGAGCCATCCGAGGACGGGGCCCTTGTCGTCCGTGGAACCACGGCCGAACATGCGGCCCTTGTCGTCGACAGTCAGGTCAAAGGGCTCGGTGGACCAGCCATCCGACACCTCTGCGGGCTGGACATCGTAGTGGCCATAGACTAGGATGGTACGCTTGTTCTTGTCGTTGCCGTAGCGGGCGAGGACGACCGGGGGGAGGTCAAGGTGCTCCTTCTCGGGCTGCTTGCCCAGCTCGCGGAGTTCGGCCACGGCACCTAGCTTGGTCAGCTCACCGGCAAGCCACTTGCCCATGCGGACGACATCGGGGCGGCGAGCCTCGTCGGCAGAGATGGAGGGGATGGCGACAGCCTCACGCAGACGCTGGATGAAGGCGTCGGACAAGCTGTCCACCTGCTTAAAGTAACCGTCTAGTTGGGGAGCCATCTTCCTTGCTTGATGGTCACGAATGGAGTCTGTCAAGTAGGATCGACAAGACGAGGGAAGGGTCCAGCTGTGGGAAGCGACCGGGCTAAATAGTAGTGGCAGGGACTTTCTGCTTCGGCTCGTTGCTGTTGCTGCGTGTGACTGAGCTCGACGCAAACAAAGAGTCGCCGTTTGGAGGGGGAAGGTGCGGGGCATTGTCGCGGGGACCTTCTATATCAGGCGCCCCAAGACGCAATCACCACGCTGTATTAGTAGTACCGATGTACCTCCTAGGCAGCGCAAAACTCAGCACTTCTGAGTGAGTTCAGAGATAGCCGCGGGTCCGGCGCCTCTCTCTTTGGCTGCTATCAGTTCTGACCAGCACTAGAAGTACTCCTGCCACCTTTGGAGTATTTGGATACTCTCCGGCCTTGTACTTTTGCTTTCTACCGGTACAGAGGGCGCTGACTTAGAAGCGGTTACCAGCGGCAGCCAATGTCTGTTCTCCTGAGATTGTAAGTGTCAGCAGATTGACCTGGCCTGCTGTTCGCCCCTGCAGCGACCATGGCACGTGATACGTCTGAATCACTTCGGTTTACTGCGCAGTATTTATTACTAAGGACAGGCTCCGGAGAAATATTTTACCGAAAGCATCGCCCTTTGTTATTAATATCCACCAGCGCCCTTTTCTACTCCTCTTCTCTTCTCGCATCCACCCCTCTCCGAGCCACACGACGTTTTCCATCAGGTTTGCCGCTTTCATCGTCGCGGATCCATCGAACACCGTGTGTAGCAACGACGTCGACGAAATAGTGCCACTCGCTGTCCGTCTGGTGGTCTGGCCCTTGCGCGACTGCATACACGACCACGGGTGTCAACCGACGAACGTCACGCGCGCGACGATACCCACACAGAAGACTGCATTCTCCTGTCCACAGGGAGGAACGTCTCTCTGAATAACTTTGCCTGCCTGCTTTAGAGAGGGCTTGTTAGGGTAGAGGACGTTTGGCTAACGCAGGGTCTATTGATACGTTCATTCTAGTGGCGCAACAGAGGTTGTCTAACTTGGTGATTTGGACAAGAGAGGAGGGAATCATAGCGGGTTGCTTTTTCCTGCTGGCTTGTACTCGTTTTATTCATCGTCACCCATTTGACCCTATTCTTTTTTTTCCTTCCAAGTACAATCAGAATTGATTATTTGCCATCCACATTCAGTTGAAAGGGCACAGCGAGTGCGAGAAAGAAGCATAAAAGAAAGACAAGAGGAGAAGAAGAGAAGGTGTGCGCAGTTACGATTGCAAGGAAAGTAACTCACATAGCATTCTTGAACCACTCGACACTCCCATCCCGACAAGCCAACTTTTGAGGTCGACAACGTGCATTTTCTGTTTTCTTTTCCGACCCCTCTTCCAGTGCTATTTTGCGTGGTTTCTCGTAAACACCAAGCGACATCGCGATCATGGCTTCCTCAGTCTTCTTCAAGTTCAAATCGCAAAGGGAGCCCACTCGAGTCGACTTTGATGGTACGGGCATTTCTGTCTTTGAGCTGAAGCGTGAAATCATCAACAAGAGCGGCTTGGGTGATGGTACCGACTTCGACCTGTTCATCTACACAGACGACAACTCAGAAGGTAAGGCTCTCACATATGTCACCACAATGCGAAATCATGGAATACAATTTACTGACCGTCAATGCTAGAGTACGACGATGACACGACTATCATACCGAGATCCACCACCGTCATCGCTCGCCGGCAGCCCGCGGCCAAGCCTGGTGCCGGCCGTGCGGCTCGCTATGTATCTGGAAAGATGCCAGCATCGGCGAAGAACGCCAGTCGGAAGGAGCAAACCGGCAAGGCGGCATTGAAGCCGAGCTCGAGCGCCATCAGCCAGATGAACAGTGCCATGACGGAGGAGGAAAAGATGGCCGCCATGTTTGCTGCCCAGACGGAACAATGGTCCGCTCAGCAGGAAGAGCTATCACAGTAAGCACACGCGTACCCAACACCACTTCAGCCTACACCTTGCTAACTGAACAATCTAGCCAAACACCCGTGTTCAAGCCGGGTCAGAAGCGTCCTGCCAACGTGCCTGATCACGACCCGCCGAATGGGTACATCTGCTACCGATGTGGCAACAAGGGCCACTGGATTCAGCTGTGCCCTACCAACGACGACCCAGACTTTGACAATCGGCCGCGGGTCAAGCGTACTACGGGAATTCCCCGCTCATTCCTACAAAAGGTTGACAAGTCTCTGGTGATGGCCCAAAGCGACGGTGACGAGTCGAAGCGGCCGTCCGGTGTCATGGTGAACGCCGAGGGCGATTTTGTCATTGCAGAGCCTGATAAAGCATCCTGGGAGAAGTTCCAGGCTAGGGCCAAGACATCGACCGCCAAGGTGTCAACAGAGGAAGATGAGGAGATTAAGGAGCGAGGTCTCTCTTGCTCGATTGACAAGAAGATGTTGATAGAACCAATGAAGACGCCGTGCTGCCAAAAGACTTTTTGCAATGATTGCATAACCAATGCTCTCATTGAAAGCGACTTTGTCTGCCCCGCCTGCCAGACAGAGGGCGTCTTGATTGATGATTTGCAGCCCGATGAGGAGACAGCTACAAAGATACAGGACTACCTCAAGGAGAAGGACGCAGCCAAGTCGCCGCCGACAGCACCGGCAGCAGGAACGGCATCGGGATCCCCGACCGGGGACGGATCTACCGACAAGGCCGGTGAGCCGCAGGAGGACGCCAAGCCAGAAATCAAGCCGGCAAATAAGCCTGGGAGTGTCCCGGCTACCGGCGCCGCCAAGGAGATGAGCAAGTCCCCTACGCCGCAATCTGCCACGACCAAGTCACCTCCGACAGCTGCTGCGGGCCCGTCCGGGACAGACAATGCCAGGCCGCAAGGGTCTGGCGGCACCTCTAGGAAGAGGTCGGCAGACGACGTTCTGGAGAACCCCAAGATTCCCAAGGGGCCGCGGGCCATGCAGAACCAACAAAATCATAATCAGGTTCCCAACAACATGATGATGAACGGCATGCCCAACATGGGAGGAATGAACGGCATGGACGGCATGATGGGCATGCCCAACATGGGTATGGGGATGCCTGCTATGATGGGAATGCCTACCATGATGGGAATGCCAAACATGAACATGGGCATGCACGGCATGATGGGCGGCATGCCGGCCTTCAACGGCATGAGCCCCAACTTTGGCATGAACGGCTGGGATATGAATGGCATGAACGCCATGAACGGTATGAATGCATTCGGCGGACCCAATATGAACATGCACGGCGGCGGTGGCATGAACGGCTTCCATAACGGAGGAGGCAACTTCGGCGGTCAACAGGGTGAGGAGGATGCCTACTTCCGCAAACCCGTCAACCCCCATCGCCATCAGAACAAGCAGCGTCGTGCACGACCGAGCGACTACAGGGAACTGTAAGCCGGTCTCCTTCCTCCTCTCCTTTCGATCCGTTTCGGACGGGTCTCTTGTTGTATATACTTCTTGTCGCAGCCGTCGTACTCCTAGGCTGGGTCTCGACAAGACGGCATGATGGGGGACAGGCGTTTTTCTTTCTTCTTATCTTCTCTGTCTTCTCCATATTCTTCTCCTTGTCCCATTTTTTTGGAGGATCTTGTCATTTGTCGGCATCTCATGTGGTTGGGTTTGGAGTGGCTGCGGGAAGCAGCTTCTTTTTTTTTCTTTTCCTTTTTTTTTTCCTATGTAATCATGTTCTTCTTCTCGTGTGAGACCAAACATGGGAACTACACCATCGGAGGGTAGGAGGAGCAACTGCTCGGTGAGGGTTTCATCAACTCGGATGGCGTTTTTGTTTATTAGCATTCTGGGTGAGGACGAAGGAAGGGTGGGAGGGAAAGAAGGCTATGTATGGCATCGAGGTACCTCGTTCCTCGTTGAAAGATCATTGTCAATCCAACAATTTACCTCAACTTCAACACCACTCCTAGTCTTTTCAAACCGAGCACTCTTTGAGGGTCAGAATCTTTTCTTGTAGTGTCTTCTTTTAGTGCCATACATCTTGTTCTGCCTACGATTGAACCATGTGCTTCGCGGTGATGGTGCTACATCGATAGCCCTTGGCTGTAACTGGTGCCTCTCGGAATTGAACATGATGAACACGTGCATTACCAATGATATTCCTTGGCGTGATCCCGACATCCTATGAGCGACGAGCAGAAACAGTATATTATGTTGAAAGGCAAAAGAGGCTGAGGGAAAAAGCAGGGTATTTTCCAAAGATAGCGCTGGGAGGAAGCGCCATGTGCATCGCCACTCTGCTCTCCAACCTTCTAGAACCTGCGGCGACGATTCGGCAATAAGGGAGAGCGTCCAAAATTTTCACATCAAAGTTGCAGGTTGTTCCAGGAAGATATTACCATCCAAGTCTTTAGGAATCGCCTCCATCCGTCTTGCAATAGCGGTTTGTTGATACATTACGTCATCAAACTTGATTGGGTTTGGACCTTTACGGCGTGATCCTTCCTTGCCTTTTGGTTGCCCGCGTCTTTCTTCGGTGTCTGTGCCCCTCCTTAGCTTTCCGTGCCCCTCAATTTCCACCGCCGCCGTGACAGCACACCAACCACCCACACAATCAACAGACTCTTCGTTTTCTTCTTCTTCTTCTTTTCGTTTTCTGCTTTCCTTTTCTTCCTGAGTTCACCATGGCTTCCGCCGTCGTCTCCGCAGACGAGGCTCTCGAGCCCTCGCTCCAGTCCCTTCTCGATCAGCGCAGCCTGCGCTGGGTCTTTGTGGGCGGAAAAGGTGGTGTAGGAAAGACGACGACTTCGTGCTCTCTCGCCATCCAGCTCGCCCGCGTCCGACGCTCGGTCCTGCTCATCAGTACCGACCCTGCACACAACCTCTCGGATGCCTTCAACCAAAAGTTCGGCAAGGAGGCGCGCCTGGTCAACGGCTTCGAGAACCTCAGCGCCATGGAGATCGACCCCAACGGCAGCTTGCAGGACTTGATCGCCAATCAGGGCGAGGGTGGTGCGGACCAGGACGCGAACGCTATCGGCGGCGGGATGGGCAGTATGATGCAAGATCTTGCCTTTGCTGTATGTGGTCAGCCGGAATCTCCTCACGGCATCTGACGAAGTTGATACGCGGAAATGTATGGATACTGACAGGAGAGGGGGGGAAATACACGAGCAGATCCCCGGAATCGATGAGGCCATGTCCTTCGCCGAAGTCCTCAAGCAGGTCAAGTCCCTGTCGTACGAAACGATCGTCTTCGACACGGCTCCGACAGGCCACACCCTCCGCTTCCTGCAGTTCCCCTCGACGCTCGAGAAGGCCCTGGCCAAGGTGTCCCAGCTGTCGTCGCAGTACGGCCCTCTGCTCAACGGCGTCCTCGGTGCCGGCGGCCAGCTGCCCAACGGCCAGAACCTCAACGAGATGATGGAGAAGCTCGAGTCCCTGCGCCAGACGATCTCCGAGGTCAACACGCAGTTCAAGAACGCCGAGCTCACCACGTTCGTCTGCGTCTGCATCGCCGAGTTCCTCAGCCTGTACGAGACGGAGCGCATGATCCAGGAGCTCACGGGATACAGCATCGATACCCACTCCATCGTCGTCAACCAGCTCCTGTTCCCCGGAAGCTCGAGCGACTGCGCCCAGTGCAACGCTCGTAGGAAGATGCAGCGCAAGTACCTGGACCAGTACGAGGAGCTCTACTCCGAGGACTTCAACGTCGTCAAGATGCCCCTCCTTGTCGAGGAGGTCCGCGGCAAGGAGAAGCTTGAGAAGTTCAGCGAGATGCTCGTCAAGCCGTATGTGCCGCCAGAGTAGTCTTTTCTTTCATCTTTCCACCATAGAGAAGAGCCGGATTTTCGGATGGAGTTCGGAACTGTTCAAGATGTGTAGGCGTTACCGGACCGGACAAATGAAATAGCTGAATTGAGCAGATGCATATGCGCTTTGGAAGCATTTGTAATTGCATTAGATTTGATACAAGAGCCCGTCACTTTTCTCGCTGTACTTAGGACAGATTCCACCCTCCATGTTTTGACAGGTCACGAGCAGATGATGATGGTACATGGCATGGTCTTCATAGGATTACGAGGCTGCTTCCTCCTCACAGTACACCTTTTCTGCTGCTCACTCCTTGGCCGCTTCCTGCTGTAGCCTCTCAACCAGCTTCTTCCGAAGAAACGGACTGAGTCCAAGTCTGTTCGTTTGTGTGGCTGTCAGTGACCATCGGTATGGTGAAGAAGATGAGAAAAAGGAAGGCATCTTCTCTCTCAACTTACATTCCCTGGTTCGTGAGAATCCTGTAAGTCCCGCTCGGCTGTGCCTTCCCGACCACCCGGCCAGACCCATCAACCTGGACGCTGGCGAGGATATCCTCCGGGAAGGCTATCCTCCCAAAGTCAGGCGGGTTCCGGCGGTCGCTCAGGTGAACCCACCCTCCGATGCCGCCTCCTCCGGCCCCGCCCTGGCCACCGGCACCGCCCGCGCCGCCCTGCCTGGCAGACGAACCCCTCCGCTTCCGCTGGGACTGGCCGCCGGAGAGAAAGCCTGCTCCCGAGCCGAGGTTGTGGCTGCCCATGCCGGCGAGGGCGCGGGCCTGGTTGGTCACGTCCTCGTCCTCGTGACCGTGATCCTCCACCACCTGGTTCAGTATGCGGACGAAATCCGGGTTCTCGGTGAAGGTCTGGGTGGTCGGGGGCACCTGCGTGGACGTGCCGATGGCGAGCCGCTTTATGGGGGGTTCGTTGTCGAGGTAGGTCAGGATGTGGTCCATGATGGACGACTTGTCCTCAAAGACTTTCTATCGACCACCATACCAAGTTAGCTACTAGACCATATGTACTGCCAGCAACCGAGAATCTCTCTCCCGAGGCTCATCCCGAGGCTCGACTCACTATATGGCGATTCTGTGGCAATGTAGTCACCGATCGACGCAGGAGACCCGCGGTGCTCCTGGGTGCTCCTGATGCCTGCCGAAGACACGCGGTCAACATTTTGTTTGTGATTTGCGAGCCCTTTCGCTGTCAAGACAGGATTGGGACAGTATCTATGATCCAGTGATTCATTTAGTACAGATAGCAGCAGCACCCCAAGTCCGGGGAAATGAGGTCATGGGTGGGAGAGACAAGCGGGCGGGCGGGTTCGACGCGAACTTATTCTTGTACCCGGGGTTTATGCGACAAAAAGAATTCCATTAAACGCGTCGACGCGGTCCCCTTCCACCACCTGTGCCATCGTCCCAAGCAAAGGTAAGAAGGGTCTTTCTAGATAACGAAAATTAAAGAGTTGTTGTGCAGCACACGACTTCCTTGTCCCCCCTTCCTCATATACACACGTTTCTGTCTTCGGTAGGGCTGCGTCTCCCTTGTCGCGACGCAACACCGTCCGAGATGGATAAGACGCCGGCGCCCATCTTTCGCAAGAGGCAGGCGGCCGCGCCTCCGTCCTCGTCTGCCATTCCGTCGTCGTCTCCGGCCTTTGGCACGCCCGCCCACCCGCTGAAGCCGTTCAACGTCAACGCGCCCAAGGCCGCCATTCTCCCCATCATACTCCCACCGCCGACGCTGCGCCCGCTAGCCTTCCGCACCTTTACGAAGAAGCATTCCCTGACACTCACGTCGTCGGCCCTGCAGGAGCTGGCCACCTTCATCGGACGGCACTGCGGCTCGGGATGGCGCGAGGAGGGCCTGGCCGAGCGGGTGCTCGAGGAGGTTGCGCGCAGCTGGAAGGGCCGCAACGGCGGCGTCATCATCGAGGGTACCAGCAAGGAGCTGCAAGACATACTCAAGACGCTCGAGGGCAACATGAGCGGGGGCAAGATCATCGGGCCGTCGCGGAGCGGTGGCGCCGGGGGCGCGGCCGGCCGCCTGTCCAGGGCCGACAGCATGCTGTCCGACGCAGGGTCCAGCGACATGCTCAACACCAGGCTCGGCCTGCGCCCGGCCGCCATCCAGAGGGAGGACAGCGGCACCAGCTTCGGAATGTCTGGTCTCGGAGTGCATGAGGCGGCCGATATCGATGACGAGACAGTCACGGATCCGCGAGCCTGGATCAAGGTCATTGACGCCTTTGAGCAGCCTAGGCTCATGTATAATGTCGAGAAGAAACACTTCGAGAGGTACAATGTTGATGCCCCCCTCTAGAATTGCAGAAGAGAAAAAAAAAAAGAAGGAAAACGGCCCAGACACTGACACGTGTGCCCGTCATCCTATCAGGGAATCATCCAAACCGACACTGCTACCCACAGCCTCACATAAGACAGCAGCGTTCCGGAACCGCTATCACGTCATCCACCAACGCCTTCTCCGCAACGAAGCCTTCCAGCCATCGTCCATATCGTCGACGCGCAGGAGCGCGCTTCAGCGCTCCTCCATCTCGAACCAGCAGTCCCTCAAGATCACCCCCATCGCCAACCTACTGGGCCGCCACGGGAGCAATCACATGCTGCTAGGGCAGCTGGTGATACTGCCGACAGGCAACCTAGCCATCAGCGACCTGACAGGCACCATTGCTCTGGATCTGGACCAGGCCGTCACCGTGCCCGAGGACTCGGCGTGGTTCTGCCCGGGAATGATCGTCCTGGTAGACGGCGTATACGAGGAGGAGGACGAGTCGGTAGGCAAGGGGCTGGGCGGTGGCCACGGCGTAGGAGGCACGCTGGGCGGACGTTTCCAGGGCTTCTTCATCGGACAGCCGCCTTGCGAGAAGCGCAGGGTCACGCTAGGCATGAGCGACGCGGACGGCGGCCAGGGCAGCACCATCGGCGGTGGGTTCGGGTGGATCGACTTCCTGGGCGTGGGCAGCGAGCGCGCCGTGGGCGCCAAGATGCGCAGGCTCGAGAAGCGCCTGCTGCGGAGCGCGGATGACCCCTTTGCCAGCACGGGGAGCAGTACGGCTCCCACCCCTGGCTCCAACCGCGTCGTCCTCGTCGGCGAGCTCAACCTCGACCAGCCTCGGGCCCTGCAGGCCCTCCACAAGATCCTATCGCTGTACGCGTCCGAGGCGGATGACGCCGTCGGCAGGCTGTCGCCACTGACGTTTGTCCTCACCGGCAGCTTCACCGAGCACGCCGTCATGGCCCGCGGCGGCAGCGGCGGCAGCATAGAGTACAAGGAGTACTTCGACGCCCTGGCGTCGACCCTCTCCGAGTTCCCGCGGCTCCTGCAGTCGTCCACCTTCGTCTTCGTCCCCGGCGACAACGACGGCTGGGTCTCGTCCTTTACGGCCGGCGCCTCGACGCCCCTCCCGCGCAAGGGCGTCCCCAACATGTTCACCTCCCGCATCCGCCGGGCCTTCGCCTCGGCCAACGCCGAGGTGCCGCAGCGGCCCGTACCCGGGTCGGCCGTCTGGTCCTCCAACCCCAGCCGCATCAGCTTCTTCGGCCCTCACCACGAGCTAGTCGTCTTCCGCGACGATATGTCATCCCGTCTACGACGCACGTCGGTCAATCTCAAGCGTACCGATAGCAAGACTGTCGACCACCAAGAAGGAGAGAGGCAAGAGGCACAACCGCAGACGCAGACGCAGACGCAGGACGACACAGCCATGGTGGACCTCGACGCAGATTCCGACCCGGCTTTGCAACCCTCCCCATCCCCCTCCACCCCTCACGACGTCCGCGCCGCCCAGAAGCTGGTCAAGTCCGTCCTCGACCAGGGCTACCTCGCCCCCTTCCGCCAGGCCGTCCGCCCCGTCCACTGGGACCACTCTTCCGCCATGCACCTGTACCCTGTCCCCACGGCCATGGCCCTCGTCGACACCACCGCCCCTCCATTCTGCATCACATACGAGGGGTGCCACGTCATGAACCCGGGTGGTATCCTCGTGCCGGGCAAAAGGGGCGTCGGCAGATGGCTAGAGTATGAGGTTGGAGGGCTGGGTGAGCTCAAGGAATGCACATTTTGAAGAAAATTGTATAAAAAAAAAGACGAACAAGATAAAACGAAATCTCCAATGAGCCAGGTTATACGGGATGTATATATATATATATAATGATGAACATGAAACTAGATGTTATAATGTGTCACGTTTTGCTTTCCAAAAAATATTTGTTATAGTGAATTAACTACAGACGCCAATCGCCTAGACTGTCCCTGATTGCTCTCAATTTGGTTGACTCTGCTACGCCCATGAAATGTATAAAAAAATAAAAAATAAAAAAATAAAAAGAGAAGAGACAGTAACAGAAAACAAACCCGATTCAAGAATTACTGCAGCAAGAGTGAGTTCTCACCCAACACACCAAATAGCTCCTCAATCTCCCTGCGCACCTTCTTCAGCTCCTCGGCGACCTGACCAGTGACGAGAGTGTAGGCATAGAGGAGGGCGTAGTCCTCCTCGTCGTACACGGCAGCGCGTGGAGGAGCCGTGGCACCGCCGCCGACCTCGGGAGAGCTGAGCCCGTTGAGCTGGTTGACGGACGTGTGCTCCCTGCGGAACTGGTAGATCTTGTTGAGCAGGCGGTCCTTGCTGCTGTCGACGGTGGGGATGGCGTCAGTCAAGGGGTACTCGAGCATGATGCACGAGGCAAGGACCTGGAAGATGTGGCAGATGCGCTCGCACAGCTGGGCCCGCTCGTCGATGGTGAACTCGAGAATGGCGCGCTCGCCCTCTGACAGGCAGGAGCGCTTCTGCGTCAGGACGCGCATGGCGTAGAAGCCGTTGAGGATGCGTCGCGTGGATCGCATAATGCGGCCGTACGCCGCGTAGGGGAAGGGCCCGCGGAGCTCAAACTCGGCCTGCGCGGAACCGCGGAGTGTCTCGAGTTTGGAGACTAGGGGAGGGGGGGGGGATCACCGTTGTTAGCGCGGGCTGTGTATGTGTAAGAACCGAGAAGGAAGTTTCAAGAAAAAAGCATACCGTATTTCTGGAGAGCCATCTGCTCTCCCTCGCGCATATAGTCTACCACCTCTTCGCTCGCCAGCTTGGTTCCCAGGGGACCTCTCTTCCAGATGAGCCCCAGCTGGAGGTACAGAACCGGTAGACCCTCGCGGAACTTGCGGCGAGCCGAGATAGGCCACAAGACTCGGCAAACGAGGATACCCCAGATGATTCCCAGGGTCACCGACAGCAGCCGATGGAAGGCAATGTCGAATATCAGGGGACTCGTGCCGCCCTCGTCATCGTCGTCATCGTCGACCTGCTGCGAGATGCTGTAGGCGTACAGGACGATGACATTGTAGGCCAGCAGACTCATGCGGCCAAGGGGCGCGTTCTTGATGGTAATCAGGTAAAAGTTACCCAGGGCCATAAGCCAGCCGCAAAAGGCCAGCAGGAAGGGGTTCTCCTGGCCCACGATCCAGGCCAGACAGGCGCACGCGCCGCCGATGATGGTACCGTAGAATCGCGAGAGACCCGTCGTGTTGGCAGCTCCCGTCGTCATACCGTTGACGATCATGTAGGACAGCAGACCCCACTCGCCTCGCCAGGTCTGGTAGATGGGCCGGGTGCTGGGGATGAAGGCAAACTGCGCCCACAGGATGGCGCCGATGCCGACCTTGATGCCGAAGAGGACATCCTCGCGCATCACCTGTCTCGCCATACGGAGGACCTTTTGCGACACGCTCCGCAAGATAGCGCTGGCTTGCGGGGAGGCTTCCCAGTTGAATACGTCCCTGCGCTGGATCATCTCATCCGGTATGCCCTTGGGCATAGCAGACCTTCTGGGCCCGGTGACGGCTGGTGGAGGTGGCGGCGTGAAGTGCTCTTCCGGGTCGCCCAGCTGGACGCCGGTCTTCTTGGCAAACGGCCACGAGAGCTTCCTCCAAAACTTCAGGAAGTGCCAGGTGCGACGGCTGTTCTCCGTCATGTACTTGAGATAGTCGAGGGTGTCGAGGTAGGCGCCCAGCTCCTCGGCGACAGCCTGCAAGCTGGAGGAGAAATGGCCGCAGGCGGCAGCCACCTCCTCGATGTCGGCCTCGATCGCCTGGGACCTGGACCGTCCCATCTCGATGGTGCGATAGAATTCACGGAGAGCCTTGGCCCGCGATTCCTTGTAGAGGGTGAGGGCTTCCCCAAGACTCTCCCGCAGCTGGTCATTGACATTGATGTCCTTCATGGGGTCCTCGCCAAACGACGACTCCCTCAGCATCTCCGAGAGGGTGAAGGCAAACGACTTCATGGACGGGCCGAGCAGATCGAGGAAGTAGGTAAAGATGTCGGAAGGGCTGCGGAACAGAGGAGCCCTCCCAAACGCCAGGTCCGACTGGGGTGGAGGCGTGCGAGGTGGTGACCTGGTGCCATCGGCTCGTTCGTCCGATTCAGCGATGACGGCCAGGCCCCCCAGCACATCGTCGGCCGTAGGAGACAAGGGCCCCCTCAGGCTCGACGGTTGGGGAGTCGCCGGGGGTGCTTCCTTCAGGAGGACGAGCTGGGTATCCAGGGCGCTTCGCAGGCCGCCGATGGCCTGGGACACCGTCTCCAGACCCTTTACAAGCTTCTTGTCGAGGTCGTAGATCTTCTCGCGGCCGCAGACGTAGTGCTCGTTCTTGACATCGTGGAGCGTATTGGTCATGTGCGAATAAGCCTTGTCGTAGCTGGACATGGCGGCCGAGTATTCGGGGCTGTTGACCTCCTCCTCAATCCCGGCCAGGAAGCCCCTTGTGATGAAGGAGAGTCGGTCGCTGAGGGCCAACGAGGCCTTGCCCAGATCCTCGCGCAGTTCTCGGCGAGCAGAGTGGCGCCAGACGAGAAGGTTGACGGCGGCACTGCTAGCGATGCCCAGAATCAGAAGCTTCAGCATCTGCACGGGCTTCTCGGCGGAGAAGAAGCCGTCCTGCACCGACTCCTCCTTTGTGACCACGGTGATGATGGAGATGGAGGCCAGCGTAGTGGCGACGTTGACGAGGGGTCGGTTCAATCTCTGCTTGACCCAACCCACAAACCCCAGCCCGCCGCCGATGCAGAAGACGAGGATGAGGGCGTGCGCTGGCAGCACATTGTCAAGGGTGTGCCTTCCCCAAGCCACGATACCCATGGAGATCCACGCGACAATCTCGGCATAGAGGACGGCGCAGACGCCGGTGAGGACGGCCTCGATCATGGACCCGACGGTGCGTGCCGGGTGGAAGTAGACGGTGATGGTGGCGGAAATGTGCTTGCCATCGCGGTGGCCCAGGAAATTGGACAGCGGCGGCACAAAGGTACCACAGCTACCCAGCAGGTATGCAAATGTGCATTTGAGGACGGTATGGCCCTCTTCCGTACCGAACCACTTGGCCAGCGCCACAGCCCGGTCTTTCGTGTTGTGGGCTGCCGCCTTGGCTCGCTCGCCAAACGTCTCGACGGCAGCCTCGCGAATCTCGCTCCGGTGTCTCGCAAATGACAGGCTGCTCGAGCCTCGTAGGGTGAATTGACGGCGGGATCGTTCGCCGGTCGATGGGATAATAAAGGTTCCATTTGGCATCTTCTGATCATCCAAGGAAACACAATGTCAGCTCCGGGAACCCTCATCTTACAACAGCCGTAGCTTCAGCAGCAGCAGCAGCAGCAGCAGACAAGAAGAGCATCGGGACGATGTCTCTATCATGAAGAATGAATGATAATAAACCATACATTGCGTTTCGAAGGCCGCGCAGGCCAGCTGCCCGTTTGCGACCTGCTCCCTGAGCTCATCCTTATGGTTGATCAGGACTGATACCATGGTCTTCCAATAGCGAAATAGGCAAACCAAGCAAACCGACCGCAGCCAGAAAAAGGAAGAAGAAGGAGAAGGAGAAGAAATTGCCGGTGCCGTGATGGTCCGCCGAACGCGTCAGGCTAGAGAGTTGAGATAGAAGAAGAGAGTGGAGTTCGGAGGGGGGAAGCGAAGGATAGCAGCAGCAATGACGGCAGCTAATCAAGGACCGTCATTGAAATTAGCAGCCATAGTTCTTCGTGAAGTTGACGCTGTTGACGGAGGAGCTGTATCGAGTTTCTTGGGGAGAGAAAGGGAGAAGAAAGAGGGAGCTCACTTCCATCCATCGCACTTCAAGTCGTCACCGTGGTATCGAACTTGCCCCACTAAAAGCTTTCGAGTGGCAGGGGTCACGCTCTTCAAGCCGTGCACGACCTTCACGGCCAACCCCACGCCTCTATTCGATCTCAAAGACCGGGAGACTCATCTCTCTCTACCCTCTTCTCACCTCATATCGCTACACCCAGTAAGCAGACGTCTTCCAAGAACCACAGGCGGCTACAAGAAGTCCAATCTCGCAGATCTGCAGATTGCCGACTACGCCATATCCATATCATAGCCTACCAAAGGGGTTGGTCCTCACACCCGAAAAAACGGTCTATCGGATCTCTGTACTATTACAGGTACTAAATTAATTAATATTGGTGGTATACCAGTAATAATACCCCTCCAACCCTCGTCCTTCTATATCCGTACAATCACCCGTGCCGCACGGCCGAAATCCCATCTGCCTATATCGTTGAACCTCATGGTCGGGAGGATCACACCCAAAATGGCCTTCACAGTGAAACGGTTTGCTCCTCTCAAGAGAGGGGCCGTAAACTCTGCCAATCTCCCCGAGCTCAAGGGAGTTGTGTTTGACATGGACGGTACCCTGTGGTAAGTCCTCATCCCATCGTACTATCCTGCCCACCACACCTGGGACACAAGCGGTGGCCATACACATCAAGAGCATGTTATATATATCCCACTCTCCGGAATATGGCTCTGCATAGATAAAGTTCAGACACAGTGTATGTCATCTGTCGAAATTTGGGCAGCACCTTGACTCTCGTCGCTCGGCGGAAAAGAAGAAGAGGAGGAGGAGGAGGGGGGGGGGGRGGGGGGGAGGAGGCATACTTGGGCGCATCCACTGCGACCATATGAACTGACACGCCTCGACAGCGAACCTCAGACCTACATGTTTGGTGAGATGCGCGACGCCCTAGGCATCACAAAAGCGGTAGACATCCTCGAGCACGTCGAGAGCCTCTCACCGGCCGACCGGGAGACAGCCCTGGAGGCCATCCGTGCCATCGAGCGCCGGGCCATGGCCTCGCAAAAGGCCCAGCCGGGCCTGACGACACTCATGTCGTACCTCGACGAGCGGGGGATCCCCAAGGCCATCTGCACGCGCAATTTTGACGTCCCCGTCCGCAACCTGCTCGGCAAGTTCCTCGCCGGCTCCGTCTTCCACCCCATCATCACGCGCGATTTCCGCCCTCCCAAGCCCGACCCCGCCGGCATCCTCCATATTGCCCAGAACTGGGCCTTGTCCGGTACCGGTGGCGCCGGTGACGCCGGTGCCGATGCGGGTGCCGATGCGGGTGCCGAGCTGCCTGATGCCACGGGGCTCATCATGGTCGGTGACTCCATCGATGACATAACTGCTGGTCGCAGGGCGGGCGCAGCCACGGTCCTCCTCGTCAACGACGTCAACAGGGCGCTCGCCGACCACGCTCACACTGACCTCGTCATCGAGAGCTTGGATGAGCTCGTCAACGTCCTCGAGGAGGGCTTCCAGGGGCGAGAGGATGCCAACTTTTGAGATTCGTACGTGGGGGTGCGGGGACGTGATTGCAGTCGTCGGAAGGGGATTAGAAGGTGCATACCGGGGCATTCCGCAACGGGAGATGGAAGGAGACAGTAGAGAAGTAGAAATTCATCAGGGAGTACATGAGAAGACGTTATTTACTAATCAATTTGCGCCAAATGATGCTGGGTCAAGTCACTACGTGCGGCAAGGCTTAGAGATCACCATGGTCCAACGATGTCCTTCTTCTGCCTTCTCGTGCCCCCGGGCATCGAAAAAGCACCCTCCCTTCACCCCCTCCATCTCTTGGCTCAGACATTGTATGCTGGGTTTGGCGGTAGCCCGTAGGCCGGTTGTCGCCTCGGTGCCTCGCGGACCTCGCGCGTCTCCCTCCGTACATCCTCCGGTGTGGCTTTCCGTGGCGGCGGGGGCGGTAGGGGGCCCGAGGGAGGGGGCCGAACCGGCAGGCTGAATGTGTTGTTGTTTGACGAAGAGGGGCGGACACCAGCACCACTGCTACTGCTGCTGCCTCCGAGACCGGCACCGTCGCCGTAGGGGCTCATTTTCGGTATCGAGTTGGTGCTGATTCCGCGGCTGACGCCGGGGTGGACCGGCGGTGGCGGTGCCCGGTTTACGGCTGCGCTGCTGCGCGTCGGCGAGCGGTTCGATGGAACACCGCCAGCGCCTCCTCCGGAGTACGGATCGCGGGACGAGACGTACCCGGTCCCCGCAATGGGGATCTCTCCGGACGTGGGGGTCTGGCCGGCCCGGTCATCGTGCTGGGCCGGTGAAGAGTCCTTGGATCGAAGGAAGTCTTGGGTCGAGGGCGACACCTGGGGGATCAGGTGCGACTTTCGGTTGTCTTTCTCCATGAGGCTACAGGCCCATTCCCTCAGATCGACGGGGGTCCGCTTGGCGGCCTGGACGAACGGATCGCGTTCCTGGAGAGGATACAATTAGTGGATGAGGGGCGCAGACGCGGAAGATGTGCCGGTGACTACTCACGTAAAGGTCCTGGGGTGTTGGCCGCCTGTCGGGCTCCTTGAAGAGACACTTTTGGACCATGTCATCCAGGATGCTGGGGAAGGCATCGCTCTTGGGAAGCCTAGGCGCAGGCTCGTGGACAATCTGCTGCAAAAGGTCGAGGATACCGGCAGGCGCTCCATCTCCGTCGGACAGCTGCTCGCTGGCAGCAAACGGGAACTTGCCGATGGCAAGCTCCATGATTGTGAGACCGAAACTCCACACATCCGACTTGACCGTGTACTTTTCTCCTTGGATACGCTCGGGCGCCATGTACGTCGACGTCCCGACAAAGGTGTCGGCTATCGAGTTGACCAGTTCACCCGAGACACCAAAGTCGCACAGCTTGATGCCACCTTGGGAGTTGACGACGATATTGGACGGCTTGATGTCACGATGCATGATGTGGTGCTTGAAGTACAGGTAGGTCAGACCGCCCAACGTCGCTTCCGCAATCTTGCCCAGTACATCGACGCGGACCGGGCCGAACACGCGGGATACTCGATCGAGAGACCTGGTTTAGACCGCGTCAGCTGTGTGTTTCACACGATGTGTGCTCACAGGGAAGAAATAGCGGTGGGACCTACCCAACATCCATGTGCTCCATACACATGATGACATCGTTATTGTGGTTCAAGAAGGCGCCGTAGAAGTTGACAATGTAATCGGAGTGGCAGTCGTGCATAATCTGGAGTTCACGGACGATCCGCTTCCGGACCTCCCGGTTGGCCTCGACATGGATCACCTACGAGATAGAAGGGAAGACGGTCAGAGGACAGAAGCCACCCACGTGCATGCGACGTGTACCTACTTTGCGAGCCATTACGATGCCCGTGGTAAGGTGCTTGACCTTGCTCACGGTGCCACCATTTCCCGAGCCAAGCTCCTTCATGATCTCCAGGTCCTCGGGCCGAAGATCAAGTCTGTACTCGATACCTATCTCAAGCTGCTCGTCCCGGCCGGGATCGTCCCTACCACCGCCCATGGCGCCAGTCTCGGAGGTCGGCGGGGGCTTGGGGGCCGCAGGCGTCAGAGCAAGGCCCTTGACATTCTTGCGCTTCATGGTGCGCGGAGCGAAGGGGTCGGCCATGTTTGAGGATGGATAAGGGCGTAAAAAAAATTAAAACAAAAAAAACAAAAAAACGGCCCAAGTCGAAGGAGGAGGAGAGGGGGGGGTTAGGGGGTAGGAAGAGGAGAAGCAGAATAGTTGTCCGTCCGTCAAGAACGTCCAGGGGTTCAAAGTCACCAGCCGACGACTGGCTGGGCTTCCCCGCGTCGGTTCTACCTGGACCGCAAGGTATAGAGAGAGTAGCAGTTCTCCAACGGGTTGGGCTTCCGGTTATCGTATTATCTGCCTCGACCGGTGGCAGGCAATACGTCTCCTTTTTTGTTTGGTTCGGTTTCGAAGAGTTCTGTTTTTCGACGAGTGGATGGGGGATGCGGAGGCGAAGGAAAGCTCGTTCAGTGATAGCAGGTGCAAATAATGGTGGTATTCCAGACCAATCGAGGTCCACACAAGAAGGGGGGCGGAGCTGCTCTCCTTTGGCGGTCTTGGTGGAGGGGGGGGGGGGGGGGCCCTTTTGACAGCGAGCGGAATGACGGCAAGGAGGTTTTTGTCACCAAGCTCGAGAGGCAAGAGAGGACTCCAGATGCTCTAGTAGATATGAAGTAGGCGAGAAGACATAGCAATAAATACTCGCTTCCCCTGAATGACAAAGAAGGCTGTCACCATGAAGGCGCTATCTCAGCGTACGAGTACGGGAGAGATGGGCTGAAGGCGGGTGAAGGTGGATCTCGACACAGTACAACCGTAATACGTCGAAACAGGTCAGAAGGTGTGGTGTGTTGGACCTTGGACCTTGGGTGTGGCAGAGGTGGGGTTGGTTCAGAGTCTGGCGATAACGTGACAGAAGAATGGGACAGAGCTCACAGCGTCTATGGACCATGAACCGTGGAACTTCAGCGTACTATTACAGCGGTACTCCCGGCGCATGAGTTGACGAGTAATAAATTGATGATGCTGCTCCAGAGCGGCAGAGCCCCAGAAAGAAAGTGACCAGCCGACACGGCCCGTGTAGCAAGACTGGAAATCGAAGACTGTTCAGAGCAGCGACTGGCCGCATCTGCAGCCTAGGAGACGCCCAAGGAAGGTCTATGGGGAAGGGGCTCGCCAATCATGAACAGTGTCTCTGTGGTCCAGCGTTTGAGATGCCCGCAGGAACCATGCAGAGAGTCGCTGGACCTCCTTGGTGTGTCTCGACTCACCTCTACTCCGTAAAGCTCGAGTCTTATTAACGCCCACCGACCATGACCGGCCAGGGGTTCTTACTATCGCGACGCAGCAGCTGTGGGACGATACTTTGATAGGCTCGTACACCGTATGCCGGTAGAGTGTTGCGTCCAGTGTCCACGACGAGGACCAGCATCGTCATCCCACTGCTGATGACGATTCACTGCCCTTCAGCGCAGTCTCGTTGTACGGATAACATCCTTTCGTCACGGTATCACTGCTCGCATGTAATATCTATCACCTGCATATGGTGTCTCCTAATATTCACCGTCATTCGTGCCCAGAGTAATAATAATCAATAGGCTCTATCCTATTCTGATACTTGCGCCCCTTTTTACGACGGCTGCGATTCACGTATTCGCTCGTTGGGTACTATTGCTCAGCCGCTTGGCAATTTGCCGCTTCACCCCTGGCGGTAACAACGCCTCGTTTCTGTACAGACGAATCTAGGCTCCAAATTTTGAACTATCGGATTTCTACTTCCCAAGGCTCTTTTTTATCATCCGTGCTTGTATGTTGAAATTGGCGCTATTATCTGATTCCTTCCACTGATACCCAGTAACTCGTGATTGTCCGGGAAAAAAATAAACATAACAATTGTACAGGGTAGCTAAAAGGCTAGACGGATGACATAAGCAGCCAAAGTGTCGGATAATAGTTTTCTCGGAGAATAGATCCCTGAATCGTTATGGACAGCCGCGAACGCGACTCTGAAGCTCGATGCGATCCCTTTGCCCAAAAATTCACCAGGCGCGCGCACCCAGACACTGCAGCTCGAATCAGGTGCTGCAGGCCCTCTCGTCAACCACCACGGCCACGAGAATCGTCTAGCGACTGTAAAGATTGAGACGAACTCAGCTGTTGAAGCCGTCGAATTTCTCGAACCCCCGGTGGATCCCGGGAAGCAGGCAGGCCGACTGCCATCATGAGCAGCAGCATGCGAGACCTGATCTCTGGCGAGGCGGAGCTGGATGACGAGGAGGATGATGAGTCGTTTGACGAGGAGACCGGAGAGGGGCGTGTCAAGGAGCACACCGTCATTGATGACTCCAGTGAGGAGGAAGAGGACGATGATGACGAGGAGGAAGCACGAAAGGTGCGAGCACCGCATCCCGCTCCATGCATACATATCCACTGACCCATTGCCACAGATCCGCGAAGGCTTTATTGTCGACGAGGATGAGGAGGAAGAAGACGATCAGGATGATTCAGATGCCGAAGCTCGCCAGCAGGTCAAGAGGAAGCGCGAGCACCGCGACCGCGAGGAAGAGGAGCGCCTCGACGAAGACGACTTGGATCTCATCGGCGAGCAATTCGGTGAACGCCCGAAGCCGAAGCCCCAAGTAAGTTGCGCCCCATCGCACGCTCCTATATTCTCGTGGCCCGGGCACTTCCCCGTACTGACACCATCTACCAAAGCCGAAATACAAGCGTCTAAAACGTGGCCATCGAGACGAGGAGGAGACCGTCAAAGAGCCCCGGGGACTCGAAGAAATCTTTTCCGACGAAGATGAGGATGCTGGAGAGCAGCGCCCTCCGCACGGACGATCGAATTACAGGGACGAGTTTGACGACTTCATCGAAGAGGACTTCCCCGAGGACGAAGAAGAGAGGATCCGGCAGCTTGAAGACGCCGAGGTCGCTCGTCCCGTAAGGGACCGTCCCGGCGTTGGCGCCGTCTTTGATACCAGTCAGCTTGACAAGGATGCCCTCGATGACATGGAGGCCATCTTCGGCAACGGCGAGGACTACGACTGGGCTCTTCAGGCACAGGAGGAGGAGGACATGCGCGAGCAAGAGGAGGCCGGCATCGAGCTCAAGGATGTCTTTGAACCCTCCCAGCTCAAGGAGAAGATGCTTACGGACGAAGACAACCAGATCCGCTCCACTGACGAGCCGGAACGCTTCCAACTGGACCGCAAGAACTTCAAGAACCTCCAACTCTCGGCCGAGGAATTCAGGGAGGAGGCCCGGTGGATCACCAACCAGATCTGGCCCAAGAAGGGGCTTGCTGGTGATCTCCATGGACCCTTTGGCAGGGCCGTTGGCAAGGTGCTCGAGTTCTTCATAGTTGACGAGGTCGAGGTTCCCTTCGTCTTCCAGCACCGCAAGGACTACCTCCTTCACACGACCAAGACGCGCACGTCGTCTCGTGACGACCCTGACGGCGCCGAATACTCCATCTCGGCCGAGAAGCTCCTCAACCAAGACGATCTGTGGAGGATACTTGAACTCGACATCAAGTTCCGCTCCTTCGTCGAGAAGCGGAATGCCCTGACACGGACGTACGAGAGCCTGAAGGACCACTACCAAGTGGAGGACACATCGATTGAGGAGATGATGCCCGAGGCGGCCACCATGGAAGAGCTCCAGGATTTACAGGACCACCTCCATTTCCAGTACGGTACCCAGCTACGAGAACTCGCCGCCGCCAACGGTACTGCGCAGACAAAGCGCCCCGGGTCCAAGTCGACAGTCTTGGAACGCGTCCGCCAGAGCAGGGCATCCCAGTTTGCCAAGGCCTACGGCATCACGGCAGACCAGCTGGCCAAGAACGCGCTGAGGCAAGGCAAGAAGGTGGCGCCCGACGACGATGCGCAGTACCCCATGGACCTCGCGGACAGCCTCGTGGACGACGGCTTCGACACCGGCGATGCCGTCATCAACGCGGCGCGCCAGCTCTACGCCGAAGAGCTCTTCTCCAGCCCCAGGATGCGCAAGCATTTCCGGGGCTCCTACTACCAGGCTGCCGAGATCAGCTGTCGGCGGACGGACAAGGGCCTGCGCCGGATCGACGACACCCACCCCTACTACGAGATCAAGTACATCCAGAACCAGGCTGTGGCCGACTTGGTGCACCAGCCCGAGCTGTTCCTCAAGATGATGAAGGCCGAGGAGGAGGGTCTTGTCGAGATCAAGGTGGAGATGCCGCGCCGCTACGACTTCCGCAGGCAGCTCTACCAGGAGTTCGAGTCGGAGAACTTCAGTGACAGGGCAGAGCAGTGGCGAGACGAGCGTAAGAAGGTTCTCGACCTGGCCTACCCCAAGCTCGAGAAGGTCATCGCCAAGAGCGTCAAGGAGGTTATCCGAACATACTGCCAGGATGAGATCCTCCGGGCAGTTCGCGAGGAATACTCCAAGAGGCTCGACCAGGCACCGTACAAGCCCAAGGGCATGATCCTGGGCACGTCGCCTCGCGTCCTGGCTCTCTCCAATGGAATGGGTGACCCTGCCCGTGAACCGGTCATCTGGGCGTGGGTCGACGACGACGGCCGCGTTCTCGAGCACGGAAAGTTTGGCAACCTGGCCAGGGACGAGGCCCAGCGCGACGAGTTTGCCCAGCTGATCGAGAGGCGCCGTCCCGACGTGATCGCCGTGAGCGGCTGGTCGGCCCACTCGCACAGGCTGGTGGGTGACGTGGAGAATCTGGTGCGGGAGAAGAACCTGATGGGGTCCGAGTTTGAGGATCCCGAGACGAATGACTGGCGCACCGAGCCGCTCGAGGTGGTGACCGTCAACGACGAGGTGGCACGGCTGTACAAGGACAGCCCGCGGGCTCTGGCGGAGCACCCCTCTCTCAACCCCGTCACCCGGTACTGCGTGGCCCTGGCGCGGTACATGCAGAATCCGATGAAGGAGTATGCCGCGCTCGGCGAGACCGTGTCGTCGCTGTCGTACCACCCGTGCCAGAACCTGCTCCCCAAGGACAAGCTGGAGAAGTACCTCGAGTCAGCCATGGTGGACACGGTCAACCTGTGCGGCGTCAACATCAACGATGCCATGACGGACACGTACACGGCCAATCTGCTGCCGTTCGTGGCCGGCCTGGGACCCCGCAAGGCGACGAGCGTCATCAAGACGATCAACGCCAACGGAGGCGTCGTCAACACGCGCGACGAGCTGGTCGGCGATCCCGACAGCGGAAAGCTCCCGGTGGTGGGCCCCCGCGTCTGGAACAACTGCGCAAGCTTCCTGTTCATCGAGTACGACGCGACCAACTCGGCGTCGGACCCGCTGGACAACACGCGCGTCCACCCAGAGGACTACGAACTGGGTCGCAAGATGGCGGCGGACGCCCTCGAGCTCGACGAGGAGGACGTCAAGGCCGAGACGGACGAGAACGGGCCGGGAGCGATCGTGCGCAAGCTGTTCAAGCAGGACGAGCAGGACAAGGTGAACGAGCTGGTGCTGGAGGAGTACGCTGAGCAGCTGGAGACCAACTACCAGCAGCGCAAGCGGGCGACGCTGGAGACGATCCGGGCGGAGCTGCAGGCCCCCTACGAGGAGCTGCGGCGCAACTTTGCGCTGATGAGCGTGGACGACATCTTCACGGCGTTCACGGGCGAGACGTCGCGGACGCTGTGCGAGGGCATGATCGTGCCGGTCAACATCCGGGTGGTCAAGGACGACTTCGCCATCGCCAAGCTGGACTGCGGCATCGAGGGCCGGCTGGAGGCGCACGACGTGACGAGCCGGGCGTCGGTGCGGGACGTGCTGAGCACGGGCCAGACGGTGCAGGCCAAGATCCTGGACGTCAACTACAAGGACTTCGTGGCGCGCCTCTCGACGCGCGAGGAGGCGCTGCGCACGCCGTACAGGCGGCCGATCAACTACGGGCGCGACGGGTGGGACTACGCACAGGAGTCGACGGACAGGGAGGAGCTGCGCGAGAAGGACAGGGCGACGGGCCGCACGCAGCGCGTGGTCAAGCACCCCAACTTCAAGCCGCTCAACTCGGTGCAGGCCGAGGAGTGGCTGGGGTCGCAGCCGGTCGGCGAGGTCGTCATCCGCCCCTCGTCCAAGGGCAACGACCACCTGGCGGTGACGTGGAAGGTGGCCGACAACGTCTACCAGCATATCGACGTGCTCGAGATGCAGAAGGAGAATGAGTTCTCGGTGGGCAAGCTGCTCCGCATCGGCAAGTACACGTACAGCGATCTCGACGAGCTGATTGTCGAGCACGTCAAGGCCACGGCTCGCAAGGTGGAGGAGCTGATGCGCCACGACAAGTTCCAGAACAAGTCCCGAGGGGAGACTGGTGAGTCTCTCGCTTCGAAACCCCCCCCTTCCCCCTTTCCCCCCCGTCCTTCCTCACCTCATCCCCTCCTCCCCCTCCTCTTGGACATGCATGATCATCTTCTCCGACCACCCGTCCAGAAGACGAGACTAACCTGACGGCGATCCGAACAGAGAAATGGCTCACTACATACATTGATGCCAACCCCAACCGATCAGCCTACGCCTTCTGCATCGACACCAAGCACCCGGGCTACTTCTGGCTGTGCTTCAAGGCGGCCAAGGCGGCGCCCGTGATCGGCGTGTCGGTCCGGTCCATCCCGCAGGGTTTCGAGCTGAAGGGGTACCAGTACCCTGACATGAGGGCTCTGTGCAACGGGTTCAAACTCCGTTTCCAGAATGAGTTTGCCAAGATGGGGGTGCGGTAAGAGGCAGAGGGGAGGTATCTCCAACGGAAGGAGACATGGGGAGAGGGCAGAAGATGGGCGAGACAGGCGAATTTGATGGAAAGATGGAGAAGGACAGGGAGGCAGCTCGGAAGGTTGCTATCTTCTGCCACAAAATGTGACTATTATCGTAATACTTTTCTTTCCCCCCCTCTCTTCCTTCGTTCTTCTTTCCCAGCTGGACTTCATTGTTTTTTTTTATAGTAGAAAGAGACGTAAACAAGATTTTTTTTTCAAATTTTTTTTTTCTTTTTCAGAAGAGAGAAAAAGAGCCAAAACAAAACAGGAGCATTGATTGTCATACCCCTCCCCTTCGAACGCTGCTTTGAAGGTGCGAGAAGGTGAGCAGTGCTGTGTCTAGAGTCGTGGTGAGAAGGATGATGGGTTACTGCGGGCAAGGCAAGACCAACGATTGCGTGCATAGGATACGTGCGAGATTGTGAGTACGATCAAGAGAGTCAAGCTGGAAGGGTCTGGAAACGGCGATGAAGGCATCATGTGGCCTCGGGACAGCTCACAGCTCCCGCCAAGACCATTACTAGTATCACAGTAATCTGCACTGCATGTACGGAAGCTCCATCGATAATGACACAGGTACGCAATCCTCGGGTCAGGTTGCGAAGGGTGCGGCATCGGAGCGAGATGTGAGGCTTAGTAGGGAAGTAGCAGGCATGCGAGTTGCGAGCTATGCCTCCGTGGAGATGGATGGGGACAGGACCCCCCTTTCCAATGCCGGCGTCCTCGTGACGTGATGCAGGAATGGATCCGGCTGGAAGCTTCTTGTGGGTCTTCGGATCGGGTCCTGCCCACCACCCCCCCCCTCCCCTTCCCCCTTTTACACCCCAGGCCCAGGTACCGGGGGCGATGAGACGGTGGCAATTCGATTCCTCCGGAGTCGAGACGAAATTATACCTGAGACTTGAGGGGAGAGTCTAGACACTATGACATATATAGAGAGAGAGAGAGAAAGAGGGGGTTGAGAGACATGGGAAGTTTTGGCAGGACAGAGAAGGAACAATATGGGGAAACCCACAATTATGCGTGAAGGGTCGTTTCTGCAATGTAGCGATGATGTCATGGTTGAGCAATTGGAAGCGTGTCCTTTTTCCCTCTCTCTCTCTCTCACTTTCCCTCTTCACTCAATTGCAAACATGACAAAAGATGACAACCAGGCTTCATGAGACAAATTGATCATATCCCATGATATAAGGGGGAGAAAAAAGAATGTTTACTCTATGGGGGGATCTGGTGTGTGGTGATGATGATTGCGATAGTCAGATAGCAAGGTACGATACTCGTTGTATCCCGACCCTCCCAATCATCATCGCCACACACCACAGTTCCCCCATAGTAAAGGGAGCTACGCGTACGGAATAGGCGAGACCGCCAAGCGTTCGAGCAATCCCCTCCCACACCCCCCAACCCCGACCCCGGCCGGGACGTTGCTCTCCCAACACGGACGATTGCTGCTCTTTACTTGCTGTACCCGGAATCCTGAAAATACGGGTTCATCAGTGGTTAAATACGTTGCTATGCAAGCAACGGTAATCATACTCCCCGTACATGTACTGCTACGGTTCGCCAGCCTTGGGGGCGAGGGAAGGAATTGTTGGCTGGTGAATGGCCCGACAAAGCAAAAGGGTCACGCGACGTTTTTACGTGTAATGATACGGAGTAGGCCACCGGCTGAGTGGTCAGCAAGACATCACCTCACACGTCGCCCGCCCCCCCCACCTTGATTGATTGATGGATGTAGATGGATTGGACTGGATTGGACTGGATTGGACTGGATTGGACTGGACTGCTGCTCCCCATGCCCTCCCCCTTCCCGCGGGCCCCGGTAATGCAGCTAAGCTACCATGTGTGCTTCTCTCCCTGCCCCGCTGTCATGAGTCGGAACGATGGATGACAGAGACCAAGAGCTCTCTCCGGTCCGCGGCTTTGTGCTCGTACTATCGTGAAGAGAGGACCGGATAGCTTCTAGCCTAGGTTGCTGGAATGACAGGTGAGAGGGGAGGCGATGGCGAGTCGTGACTCTCTCAGCGTCATCGGTTCCGCCCATGGCACCATGGCTGGCGTGACGCTCTAGATCGTACTTGGTAATACTAGCAGCAGCAGCAGCAGAAGTAATAGGTACGAAGTGGTAGTGGTAGTAGTGTAGTAGTGGTAGTAGTGGTCGTAGTAGTAGTAGTTAGTACGAGTAGTAACAATATGAGTAGCAACATGATAATACTAGATGTTTCGACAAACCACGACTTCTGCTCATAACTCTACTGCTGGGCAGTACGAGCAGCGCGGCCGTACGAGATGGTGAGCCTTACCTTGTGGGCCGTGGTGAGTAGGTACAGCCTAGTCGTAGACGTGGAACGAGGCACGCACGTATGCTCGTACTGTCACTGCCGTTGATCCCCTCCTTCACTCCGCGTTACGTACCGTCACCATACTGTCTATAGGAATGACCCTCCCCCATGACTATAAGTTGAGCCCTCCCCCCTCCTCCTCCTCTCGCTCCCTCCTCTCTTCCCCCCCTCTCTCTCCCACCATCTCTTCTTCATCTGGTTCCATCCATCCATCCGTCTGAATACGTCTTCTCTTCTTCTGCCATCACTGCCACTGCTCCAATCCATCTTCTGTGCTGCCGTCCTCTCCCTCCCACCCTAATTGACAATCACCATCACCACACCATCATCGCCCTCCCGTCTCAGCCGCCTTCCTGACTCGACTCAATCATATACCGCACCCCCCAAGACAGATTCGAAAACCGAGACTCCTCTCCTCGCATAGAAAAAGTACGTCTAAATAACCTTCTCTGATAACCTCGTCACCCATCTTGCCTATCCCCCCCCATCTACGGGAGCATCCTGCTCTGCACCCCCTCCCTCCCCCCTCTCCCTCTCCCTCTCCTGCTCGTCAGAGTGTTCATCTACTTTCTATCCGTCCTCTTCCCTGTATACTACTACCCTCCTCGTGAACCCTTCTCCTCGTCATTGCCACCATCCTCCTCCCCCTTCGTCGTCAACTGCTCCCTGCCATTGAATTCGAGCAAGAGTGGGCATCCACAGGCCTCGAACCTCGCGTCACCACTCGAGAATCCGCAGAGCTGACCCTCTTCCTCTCTCCTCTCTCAGTGACCCGTTCCCACAAGGCCAACGACCGTGACCACAAGGCTATCGCCGACGGCACCGCTCTCCCGTCTGAAAGCATCCCTCGCTTCTTCGGCAAGCACGGCTTTGCCGACACCGATCCCAAGAAGATCAAGAAGGACGGCGGCGGCAAGGGTAACTGGTAAGCCTCTCATCTGCCTCTCTTCTCCTGTCTCGTAACCTCTTGGTAATGCATCAGTCGATCTGACATCAAACGTAAAAAAAAAAAAAACAGGGGCGGATTCGGAGACGAGGTCGTAGACGAGGGCTTCACCTTTACCAACCCCCGTCGTCGCTCCAACAGCAGCTCCATCTCCCACCATCACATTGCCGACTTCAAGACCAAGTTCGAGATCAACGAGCCCGAGCCCGTCTTTGAAGAGTCCGTCCACGGCCCCCCCGCGGTCGACGACAATGACGATGCCCTCTCCAGGACGGACTTTTCCGAGTCCTCGGTGGCTTAATCTGGGTGGTTAACTATGCAATATCCTCCGAGTCGCTTGCTCATCAAGGCCGGCACTGTGTCGGCCAGCCGTTGATCTTTTTTTTTTCTGTTCTTGTTTCCAACATGCATTTCTGGGCGTCTGAACTGTGAAAGGAGGGGTTCCCCTGTCTGTATTCCTATCTACTCTCTCTCTTCTTCCTCTCTTGTTCCCCGTACCAGGGGCCCCTAGTCCCTCTATCCAATGATGCAGATAACATGGTAGACGACCTGATACGGCGGAAACATGTATCCTATTAATTTATATACGCTGATGACCAGATCCTCCGAAATTCCTCTCGTTCATCTTCCTCCCCCCCCCCATAATGTGATACGAGTCCCATTCCCTGCAGTATGCAGTCCGTTATGGAGAGTTCGCCCCTCACTTTCCTAAAAAGGCAAGCAGATGTGATGATTGGTCTCGAGCATAGTTACGGGAGAGAGAGAGAGAGAGAGAGAGCTCGAATCACCGATCCCGTGCAGGCCGATGGACGGCTGAGCTTACGTGTAGCCTGCACCTCAATGGTAATAGTCATACCTCGTCTCCTCCTCTCTCGACCCCTTCTCTGTCTGCAACGACCCCATCTGGAACCTCTCACCTCACAATGATGGTCGCATCTCATCCTCCCCTCCTTTCATGGGCTGATGGGCTGGTCCTCCCCCTCTCCTACCCCCCTCTACTACCCCCCCCCTTCCATAGCATTCCAATCCTGTACTCTTCCCAGATCTACCTAGCACTAGCTCCGGGCTGATAGGCCCATGCACTCGTAACAGCAGACTGTCGGAACCAATCTCCCCTCTCCAACCATACAGGGTTTCTCTAGCTCTGCAGTAGAATCGACAAGAGGGGAGGATAGAGGGGTCTGTTTCGACTAGGATGGGGAGAGACGGGCATGTTCTTCAGGTGCATGATGCCTGATGTTCACTCATGTGGTGGTACGCCAGTTCGGTGAAGAACGTTTGGATTAGAGGGGAATTGCGGGCTGTGCTATATATCTCTCTCTCCCTCTCTCTCCCTCTCTCTCCCTCCCTCCCTCTCTCTTTCTCCCTCCCTCCCTCTCTCTTTCTCCCTCCCTCCCTCTCTCTTTCTCC